TAATGCTGCAAATACAAAAAACAGCTCAGAGGAGGAAGCCTCTCACTTTAGCAGATGGAAACATTTTTTGGTATTTCCAATTCACCTAGGGAGGATTTAAATTTGCTCTAATGTGGTGCTAACTGAAAGGGAAAGAAGCTTCGCATTTAAGTAGATATTGTAATGTGTGCATGACTTTCTCTGAATCTTTTCAATCAGTGTTGAATGACGTTTATGACGTTTCACTATCGAGTGTCATACAAGTATTAACACCGTAATATAGTTAGAGGAGTTATATGTATGTAAGAGAAAAAGAAAAGAAACTTCTGTTGAGCTGTTTAACGACAAATTGAGATTTGAAAATTTTTCTAAAATTCACACAGTTTTTCAAAGAAGGTACAAAGTAGGATGAGCCAAACCATAATGGATTACTTGCCACAGCTCTTCTGTAGATTTGGCCACTCTCATTTGGTTCTGTGTCTTCATGTAAGTGCACAATGACTCAGATCAGGGCTCTGTGGGGGCTATACCATCTGTTAATAGAGTGTTTTTCTTATTCTTGCTGCTGAAGAAAGTTCTTAATTAATCTGCTTGCAGGTCTGGGGCTGCAGTTTCACATGCTGCAGATTGAGTTTAGGTCAGATGCCTCCTAATGATATTATGCTGTGGAGAAGAATCCCATAAATCCAGATACTTCCAAAAAATGCACTTAAATATTTTTTTAACCCACTTACAGTTAATCCCAGAAAAAAGTGCAACTGATGCTATGACATGGTTTCAGAGGTGTTATGGTAAATTATAGGGTTTTTATCTGGTGAGCACTGTATGCAGCCTAACACAGCTGTCAGACTCGATGATTGATTTCACATCCTCAGCTTTCACAGACCTGAGAAGATATTGGAAAAATAAAGATTTCGTCCTTTTTTAAGTCTAAATTCAAGAGTTTAAAGACATAACTGCTTATACATCAGAATATAAATATACATATTGAATATTTGATTTTATATATAATTTTATATATAGTAACACATACTACATATAATAGTAGTATGTGTTTCTTTAGCACCGATGTGTAAAAATACTACTACAATTTCATTGTAGTATTGTACAAAGTATGAAACTTTGTATAAAAGAATGAGAATAAAGAGTGAAACTTTAAACTTTGAGTGAAATGTGCAATAAAAGTCAGGGAGAACAGGAGAAGGATGTTTGGAAGCTTTAATTTAATTTAAAACCCTGTGAGTTCTACTACCCCTCTGTTAGACAGCTGTGACGAAGGATGCTGATTGTGCACCTGCATGGTCTCTCCCAGTATTCAAAGGGAAACCCCATCACTATTCTCCCCTCTGGCTTATTGAACTGTTCCTCTCCTCCACCCACATATTGAGTAATGTGCTGTCCCTCACTCTTTTTATGTCTACAGGAATATAATCAATAGCCTGGGGTGTCCTGCATCAGCACAGTTAAATGGGAGCATTGGACAGAAATCTAGAGCCATAAAGAAAGAATGAATATGTTATCTGTTTGCTAATGATTCGATTAAAGGACAGGTTTTCAGTAGCATAGATGTAGCTGTGTAGCATAAAAGGCAGAACTAGTTTGTTGCTGCTGAGCTGCTGATTCTGATGTGAGAAACCACTTGACTCAGTTGGATGAGTGTGTGAGTGTAATTTCTAAATATATAACTAGAATTCAGTATAAAAAGAAGTTTTTTTTTTATAAACGTGTCTATAAACCCACTTGTTCCTGTCTCACAGTCCCTTTGTGCTGAATTAAAGCTGATCACCTGCTAGTGGAAAATGGTCAATTTACCAGCAGTTAGAAGTGTAACTTTGTTGCAAGTGTTGACGTCATTGTATCGGACATACCGGTGTAAAGATGTCCCAAATAACCCATAAACTGTTAAATCCCAGATAAACTAGGCCTATATCTTACACTTGGGGACCTGCGGTGTGTCAAAGATGCTGTTGCCCCAGCTGTAATTTAAGAACATCCTCTATAAACAGTCACTGTCCACAAACCAAACAAACCAAACAGTGACGCACCGCCGCGGCCACAGCAATATTTTTCCCAGCTTTGTTCACAGATGTTCTATTACACCTGGTTCCCTGATTGTGGCTAATCTCTTAGTTTAGGAGATCATGAAAGGATTAGAGGGAGCAAATATCACTCACCATTTTGCATCTGTTTGCTTGTTTGCTTCCTGTCTGCCGCGGGCACCATGCCTGCTTTTCTGGGGAATCCTTGGCTATCCTCTGTCTGCATGTGCACCATTAGAGGGCCCTAGAGAATATACAAAGGTGTCTGCTTTCACTATCTGTGCTTGTGGCTGTAAATCTCTGGTGCAATACATACTTCTGTTGGTGCTATTAATGCTCACTAGTTGGTTTGTTTGTTTGTCTGTCTACTATTTTCGTTCCGTTTGTCTTAACTTCTCCTTTTAACCTGCATATCCTGATACTTCAGCTGCCAAGTCCTAACATGGTTTGGCTGTAGCCTTACAAGCAGCATTTGCATGAGGCATTAAATGTGTTTTATGTTTTTATGTGGCTCAGGTATAAGTTCAGTGGGTCAGATGAGTAATAATCATGACATCCTGACTTCCACTCAGTGAATCCTAGCTGTCTTGGTCCCATCAGATATGGTCACAACAGATGAACAAATAATCAGAAGTTGTGGTTGGTGTACAATTAACTGTCAGGTGCACATCTTCCAAATCCTTAAAGCTGCCTCTATTAATAACTGTGTGAGCTAAGCCTGTGGGTTTGTGTGTCAGCTTTTCACGTGGTCAAATTGGAAGTGATTCACACTGTGTGACTTCTGGAAGGACACTGCCCTGTAGCTGCTGATACATTTGACTTAGGAGTATTATAAATGTTGGGGAAAGTTGGTTTCTTATCTTCACTGTGTCACAAATGACTTTTCCACAGTGTGGCGGGGCTTTGGTGTTTATTCTGTTCCAAAGTCCCAAATATTAGCTAATAATCATCATTAACCACTTTCAAGAACATGTTCACAAAATACTAACGCACAAAAAATAACACAAATTGAAAAACTGATAAAGAAAACAAAAAAAGTATTCTTTCTATACAAACTTTAGTCCTTGCAGTCCTCTAGAAAATCCTGTTTTTTTTTAGATCATGACTGCAGAGGTAGAAGCTGTGTTTGTCTACCATGTGGGGCAGCGGCTGTTGAAATAGATTAGAAGCCAATGAGCAGGACTGCTGTATAATTGTAGGACATACAGTGTGTATGGTTGCCACCTGATCACTCAACAGTAAACCACTTGGTAACTTTAGTCTTTCAGACTCTTATTAGGTCAGCCCTATCTGCTTAATGAGGTTTGAGTATTTGTGCACTGGCCTCAAAACATGATCGCTTTAGACAGTTTAACCCTGACTTAGAGCTGTTTAGACCTTGTAGCCTTATTGTCGTTCTGTAATGCTGGCTTTAGAACAGGTATACTGAGTCGATAAAGATGCATGTCATTGTAGTGCGTGCAGGTACTGGTCTGAATCTCAGCTTGGTGCTGGTAGGTAGATATTGTTGTTGCACAAGGGAGACAAAAAATTTTTTTCCAAATCCAATTTTGTTTCCTGATACTTCTGAGGTTTAAAAGTCAGGTTAAAAAAACTGTGCGAGCCCTGTGCAGTTTTAGTAACTCTTGACTTGCATTGAGTGCTGTTGCTCATGTCTGCAGTGAAAGAGAGAGGACACATTGCTCCACTTTTCTGAAGTGCAGAGCAGGCAAAGCAAGGAAAGGACAGAGAAGACATTTCTAGGCTGAGGAGGGAGAGATAGATGATAGCTCAGCCAAAGGAAGAGGGGTCACTTTTCAGCCAAAGAAATACTCGAGGCCTCTGGGCATAAGAGATGAGTAGATGTTATGAGGTCACAGCTCTGCATCGTTTTCCATTTTCCTGTTATATGCTAAGCTATAAACATAGATCTGCAAAATCCTTTCCTGCCTTTGACCTCGCTTCAAAGGCCCTGCTATTTTTCTAACAGTAAGTCATGACACATTACAGCTGCAGAATCACCAGGGTGAGACAGCGAGCACTTCAAGAAATGAGAAGACAGAATGATACATTACTTGTTAGACGAGAGGGGAGAAAAGTCAGGGATCCGTCCAGAGCTGTAGAGGGGATAGTATTCAGGTTAAATGATGGAGCCACTTACATAATGACCGAGTAGAAGAAACAGCTGAGAATTTTGAGTGTCAGGTGTGAGGTTCACATGCGAGGGGGTGTTTATTGCTGTATTTACAACAGTCTCTGCAGCGTCCAGGCATTGACGAGGAGCAAACAAATTACTCACTGTTAGCATTCTGCCCATGGAATAGAGGCACATCTAAATATTGTGCCATACCTCACTAAAAGGAGCTGTTTAAATTCTGCTGAAAGCTCATATCCAATTAATCCTTTACACATTCACAATTCAAATTTCTCAATGTGTACATAAGATCTACCTATTTTAGTCATGTTATTGTTGTGGTGATGGATTTAAACTAAGATTGATTTGAAAAGTTGTTATTTATTCATGCAATAGTTTCATAGCTTCAAAGTGCACTAAATTATTGCAGGTTTAGCATTCGCTGTGATAGATTATCTACTTAAAGCAACAGATTAATTAGTGGTAAAGTCATAAAACATACTAAATCAGAGGGTTTTTCTTTAAGTGTACTAGTCATTTTTACTTCAGTCACTGTGTACTCTACAGCAAGTGTCTATTTGAAATGTGCTGTAGACAAGTTTTCCTTTTTTGCACTTCTTGCAGAGAATTTCAGCTCAGTCAATAAAAGGTCAGCATTGTACAACAGAATGCCTGCAATATCAAGTGAAAACATTGTTTTTAATAAAAAAAGAAATACCTAAAAAAACAACCTGGCAAGCACAACTGCAACAAACATGTAAGAGAAAACTGTAGTTGAATAAGTCATGTAAAATGATGCATCCTAAAATTAAAAGAACAGTGAATAAGAAATATCGATAACAGTTTGTTTGTTTGTTTACTGAGTGCAGGATGACCAGGTAGTTCTGCAGTGCACTGCCTCCGTCCTGAAGGAACAGATTAAACTGTGTCTCTCCTGCGAGGGCTTCGGGAACCGTCTCTGCTTCCTTGAAACCACATCCAACGCTCAGGTGAGATTCTGTTACCCATTCCTCCCTTTCCCTTGTGCATCCACTTGCTTGTTTGTTTTTTTGAACAACTTTAATTTACCTCTCTATTGTTTATGCATTTGCAGAATGTGCCCCCAGACCTGGCCATATGTTCCTTCATTCTGGAGCAGTCTCTCTCAGTCCGTGCTCTGCAGGAGATGCTGGCCAACACCGTGGAGATGACCGAGGTGGGGGTCATAACTAAAATAATAAAATAATGAAACTAGTAGAGGATATATAGAAATATATTGAGAGGGTGATTCATAAATGTAAGAGATTCATGGAGTGCTAAAAGGAATGCGACTGATGAAAGGCACACTAAAGAAATATACTTAGTTATGAAGATTTTTAAGGTCTCTCTGAATGCAAAAATGTGTATATTCTGGATGCAATTTTACTGCCTCTGTCACTGTCCATCTTACTGTCACCAGACAAAAGTTGTCACATTCAGCTGGAATTGCTAACGTCATTGTGTTTGCAATTTGTTGTGTGCAGTTGTTGAGCATAACTTTTCTGTGTCGTCTCCCACTACTGCCAAACCTATATGGCAAGAAAAACGACAACACTTTTGAAAGTCTGCATATGAAATTGACTCTATTTCCACCATGTCAACAAGAAGTACCCAGCCAAGTTTAACAACAAAATAGATGCAGCAACCCTCTAACAATTTCCAGTCTGTTTTACTTGACGCACAACAGCTAACATTAATACGGATAAATAATTTTTACCTTATACCTTATTGCAAAGTTGGCTGTTTCTAACAGTATATGAATTAAGAAACCGTTGACTACATCGTTCTGTATGTACTTAAAAACATCCTGGTTCAGAACACTTTGTTTCCAGTCTGAGACTGAGAGATCCTCGACATGTCTCTGTTTTAGACAGAGAGAAATAAATTTGCAGTTTATGTGGGTCAGACTGTTTAGTAGCGCGTGCCAGTCCTGTCTTAATATGTAGGTGGTATTTTTCTGCTCCATCACAGATGGAGCTTTCAAAATGAATTTAAAAAGTTCACAGTTGGAGATATTATGAACCAAATTCCTTCAGCCTACATAACCACCATCAATGGACTTATTTTTGGTGTTTATTTTATTATGATTTTGTTACTTGCCATCTGATACCCGCTCCCCTTCCCTTCTTGCTCTTTGCAAAGCAGGCAGTCGATTTGGACAAATGGGTATGTCTGTTAACGTGTGTTATTTCCTGTAATGTGTGTCCCAACCAACCTGGCAACTGTCCTTGTTCCTGTCATGTTGGCAAGTGGGTGTCCTAGTGAATGAAATACGTAGTGCTGTATCATTTACACATCTCGGTTTGTATCAGTTAAGCTCTCACCATAAGTAGGTGATTGTCATGAACACCTGTGTATAGCTTTTAGCAGCTGGTGGAGTTCAAGTCCACTGTCTCTGTGCTGAGCTATTAAAAACAGCACTGTTAAGCATAAAAAAGTAAAGTTTTAGGAAAAGATTAGATTTTTTTTCCACAGTTTTGAAGCAAGAATAGAGCACAGCATTTTTTCTAATAATTAAACTTCAATCTATCCCACAATATGAGACATAGCTACAAGGCATCACTCATTTGCATTTTGTGCAAAACGCAGCCCATTCATCATAATTATTATTTTACCTTGCTTGATGTTGCTCATTTGTTTTAGATCATTGTTCTTTGTGAGTCTTAAAAATTGACCTGTTATGCTTTTCTTTTTCCCCCCCTCATACTTCAGTTGTGGATGCTCATACTAAACATGGCCAAACATTCAAATAATAAGGTCGTATGTAAAGACAGTCCCCGGAAACAGAACACTCAGGATTCTCAGGATCTGGTCTGTCAGAGTTTTTTCTACACTTAGATGTGTATGATGCAAGAGGAGACATCCTTAACATGGTCATGTCAAACAGACACTTCTCGCAAAGAGCACATAAGCCCCATCCACATGCTGTTAAAACCACCCAGACAATCTGAAGAAAGCTGCCTTAAAGGGAGCGCGGCTTTAAAGGTGGAGGAGCTACAACAGTGGGTGAAAAGGGGCTGAACCAAAGCCCTGTGTGAGCCCACTCTAGCAGTCAAACAATAAAAATGAAGAGCTGGAAATGAGCATAACAGGTCCATTTTTATAACACAACCCAGTTCTCCTTTTATTCACAACATGTTATCATATTGATAAAAAAGATTAATTCACTATAAATGTACACACTTGGGTTTACTATCAAGGCATTCTGATCCTTGAAGGTTTTTGTAAGAGAAACTTTTGGTTGTTTTTGGTATTTTTTTCATTTTCAGATGATTACCAGTTAAGTATGCTTTTCACAATTTAACTACAATGGGCCATTTTGATTAGTATACAATCAAAATATCAGTTAGCACATCAAAAAAAAACAAAAAAACAGTGTTGAATCTTTGATAAGACAGGTGAATGAAAGCTGATACAGCTGAGGCAATGATCTTAAGCTAGCTTTAAGAGAAACTATTTCAAGCCTTTTATTAGCTGCATTATGACTAGTCTAGACAGTTCCTGCTTCACAGGAGTTGAAAGATGTGGAAGAGCCAGGCTTCCCTACTGATGAACAAGAGGATGAGAATAGAATGGCATGCAGCCCAGCAGAGGTTCCCACCAACATATGTCAGGGATGGATGGAGAAATTGGACACCCCAGAGCTGCGGACAGGCCTAGCTCCTTCTTAACACACGCACTTGGGGATAAGGCCCACAACACAATCGCCAACACAACACCTGTCCTAACCAAGCCTCGTGCTAATGCTAATGCAGTTTAGAGCTGTTAGCATCATTCTAACACTTGACATACCTGCCCCTAACTCATCTCAGTGGATTATGGGTGCTAAACCCTTAATAAAGGTTTAGTCTTATCTTCCTGTCAGCACCCCTAAATGTTAAATGTTGCGCTTGTGTTTGAGACTATAACCTATGGTGACTGACATTAGGGTTTAAATAAATAAATTGGGCAGGTCACTATTGGTTAATATAAACTTGTGACTAAACTAGACATATTGTTTACATAAATTGAACACATCTGAAAGACAAGATACATATTATTGATCCTAATAGGATGTGTACTTTGACTGAAAAGTCTATGCACCATATACAGGATCAATGAATTCAACAAAAGTTGCTACATATAATGGACAATATAAAGGACAGGCTTAACTGAATAGAGCTTAAAGATCTTTAGTACATTCATTTTCAGTTATTGAAAGTTTCAACCAGCCTCTAATCTTTTCTTCTGACCTTTGAACCTTTAAAAATGTGTCGTTGTTTCCCCCCATCAGGTCAATGTGTTTGTTAAAGTATACAGTCACTTGTGTTGATTTGGCCTGTTAAGTATTTTTTTTTCTCACCTCAGTCGTCCCAGGGTGGAGGTCACCGCACTTTACTGTATGGTCATGCCATCCTTTTGAGACACCACCACTCAGGCATGGTAAGGCTAGAAATGAGCAAGAAATAAATGTAAACCTGTATAAGATGTCCTCAAATGCTCTAATTGGAGTCATGTCCTCTATAAAAATCTCTCCAGTACCTGAGCTGTTTGACTACATCTCGGTCCCTCACGGACAAGCTGGCCTTCGATGTAGGCTTACAAGAGGATTCCACCGGTAAGGGAAATGCAGCAGAATACATTTTAGGCCTGGTATTAGCTCATTATTCTCTGGTGCTATTGTTATTGCCAACATGAAAGCTACTGACAAAAATAGTCAGCAGTTTATATCCACTTTGTTGTTGGGCTACAGGATATAAGCAGTGATTGTGCAGTATCAGCATGTTGTTACCAAACACAAGTTATCTGTTATATTTTTGGAAATAGCTGTTTTTTTCTTACTCTTGTTGAAGGTGAGGCATGTTGGTGGACTATTCATCCAGCTTCTAAACAAAGGTCAGAAGGTGAAAAGGTCAGGGTGGGTGATGACCTCATCCTTGTCAGTGTGTCCTCTGAGAGATACCTGGTACGACTGCTCCTTGTTTTACACAATGATGGAAACATATACACAGTATGTCTTTTTTAATCGTCTTCTTCTCTTCTGTCCCCAGCATCTGTCCTACGCCAGTGGAGATCTCATGGTGGACGCTTCCTTCATGCAGACTCTTTGGAACATGAATCCAATTAGTTCAGGCTGTGAACTAGCTGAGGGTACAAACCTGCTTTAAAAAACTCTGTCTCTTCCCTGTCCCCGTAAAAATAAACATAACACAGAATGGATGTTTGTTCCTTTACACAGGTTATTTAACAGGAGGTCATGTTCTCAGGCTTTTCCATGGCCACATGGACGAATGTCTGGCCATCGCTACACCAGAGGAAGGAGAAGAAAAGCGCAGGTGAGAATATAGGAACGCTAAGTTGCTCTTAGTAGAACAACTTCTTGTTAGTGTGATACCATGTACATACTGTATGTGTGCGCCCACTCTGCCACAGGATGGCTCATTATGAAGGCGGTACTGTGTGCAGTCAGGCTCGATCCCTGTGGAGGCTGGAACCCCTCAGAATCAGGTGATTATCTCCTCAAGGGAGTCATGTGACACACATTAGTTGGTTGAATTGCTGGGTAAGGTAAGAATAAGGAAGAGCAACAAAAATCAAAATATAGTAGTGAATGAAACAGTTTAGTTGGCTTCTTTATAGTTTTTTTCTTTAACTTTGTGCAGTTGGAGTGGTAGCCACATGAAGTGGGGACAGTCTTTTCGTATTCGCCACATCACGACGGGCCGGTACCTGTGTCTTGATGAGGAAAAGGGCCTCTTGGTGGTCGATCCCGAGAAGGCGAACACCAAACTGTCTGCTTTCTGCTTCCGTGCTTCAAAGGTCAACATTTTAATTTGAATTTCTCAGTGCACTTGGATAGTCATAGTTAATATACGTGATTTCTTCTCTCATTGACTTCAGTTTTTTTCTCACGTACTGTCCTTTTCTCCCCCCGAGCAGGAGAAGGTGGAGGTGGCTCAGAAGCGTGATGTTGAGGGGATGGGCATTCCAGAGATTAAGTATGGAGAGTCCATGTGCTTTGTCCAGCATGTGTCTACAGCCCTGTGGCTCACATATGCTGCCCTGGATGCTAAAGCTGCTCGTTTGGGAATGATGAAAAGGAAGGTAATGATCTATCCTGGGAATAAAAGTGAGATACAAACCCAATTCTGAAAAAGTTGTCACACTGTGTAAAAGATAAATAAAAGCATGATAATTAGCAAATATAAAAATATTTCATTCACAGTAGAACACAGAAAACATGTCAAATGTCTAGTTATTTTAAGAACAATATGAGCTCATTTTGAATTTGATGATAACAGCACACCTCAAAAGATTTGGCAGATGGAAAACAAAAGGTTGGAAAAGTAATTACTTTGAAAAAGAAACAGCTAAATTAACATTTTGCAACTGATGTTAACTGACAACAGGTCAAAGAGCATCTTAGAGAGATACAGAATGACCAATCTGCAAAAAAACGTTCCTAAACTTAAAATTGTGAATATATTTAATGTTTCATCATCCTCAGCACAGAATAGAATGTAAAGAATAGAATAGCCATTTATTGTCATTGTAAATGTGCAATGAAATTGTGAGTGCTCCACACCAACTGTTGTGAGCCTAGAGGTGTGGGACCTGATTGACCTGAGGCGTCTAGAGGGTAGTGATGTCAAACATGTGGAGTGCGGGGTGCAAGGGGTCACCTGTGATGGCCCTGGTTTTCCTGAGACAGGAGGATCTAGCAATGGCCTCCAGGGGTGGGAGAGGGCAGCCAATGATTTTTTGGGCAGTGCTAATTACCCCCTGGGCTGCCTTCCTGTTCTCAGTTGTGGTCGTTGCATACCAAACACCCAGTACATAATATCATCAAAAGATCCCAAGAATTTGGAGAAATCTGTGCACACTGGATAAAACCAAAAATCAGTATTGGATGACTGTTTTGTTTGGGCCCTTGGGCAGCACAGCATTAAAACAGACATGATTCTGCCATAGAAATCAGTGCATAGGCTCAGCTCAGGAACATTTCCAGAAATCAGGTTAAAGATCTATTATACGAAGAAGAAGCCACATGTGAACATGATCCAAAAACACTTCCATCTTCTCTGGGCCATTTAAAATGGACTGGGGTAAAGTGGTAGACTATTCTGTGGACGAATCAAAAGTGAAAATTCTTGTAAAACCTGGATTCCACATCTGGATTAATTTGGCTTGTGGAAGATCTTTCTTGTTATCACCACACAGTTAGAAAGGCTGGATCTTTGATGATATGGAGCTACTTTACTGCATATTCACAGCTTGTAATCTGGAAAAGCACCATCAATGCGGAAGAGTCCGGGTGCTGGCTTGCCAGCAGTCCAGACATTTGTCAGATTTTAGTATTGTTTACCTGCATCTGTGTGCTTTAATGTTTAATGTGAAAATAAGTAAATATTGATAATGGCAAACCTTTTTAAGGTTCTTAAATCTTTTTTCCTACATAAGTACCACCAATGGAAAATAATGTTTCCAGGTTATTCTGCACCAAGAGGGCCATATGGACGATGCCTTGACTGTGTCCCGCTCTCAGACTGAAGAGTCACAGGCTGCTCGAATGATTTACAGCACCACAGGCCTCTTCAGGCAGTTCATCAAGTAAGTTTATATGTTTTCAAAATGTGGATGAGTGGAAACTCTTTTTTGCAGCAGGATGCAGTCATATAAACCTATTATTAAATTTTATTTGTTCTTTCAGTGGATTGGACTCCCTCAGTGGGAAGAACAAGTCACCAGGGACAGGATCACTTCCTCTGGAGTCGGTCATCCTCTCTCTTCAGGATCTCATCTTCTACTTTCGCCCACCTGAGGAGGAACTGGAACACGAAGAGAAACAGACCAAGCTCCGCTCTCTCCGCAACCGGCAGAACCTCTTCCAGGAGGAGGTAATCAGCATGCTGCCATCCAAACCTCTTGCTCTATGAGTGCAAGAAATAATTTCAGTGTTATATTCAGAATAAAGGGGAATATTATTTTTTATTCAAAATAAGTTTAAATGGATGTGAACGTGACCTAAACTCTCAGGTTATTATTATGAATCCTGATGTTTTTGTTTTTGTTTTCAACCCCAGGGAATGATAACCATTGTGCTGGAGTGCATTGACCGCCTGAACGTATACAACACTGCTGCCCACTTTTCTGAATTTGCGGGAGAGGAGGCTGCTGAGTCCTGGAAGGAGATTGTCAACCTCCTTTATGAGCTGCTGGGTACGACCTCTGAAAACACAAACCGCAAATTACATGTGGTCTCTGCTGAATAAAGAAAAAATGATTTGTCTCTGTGTCTCCACTGCACAGCTTCTCTGATCAGGGGTAACCGATCAAATTGTGCATTGTTCTGTGACAATCTCGACTGGTTGGTCAGCAAGCTGGACCGTCTGGAGGCCTCCTCAGGTTTGAAATGCACCTTACTCATTCAGTCATACATCCACCACCCACAAATTACAAGTGTTTCGACTAATTGGCTTGGCAGGATCTACTGTTTATAATTGGCACAGCTTAATGCATTAAGCCCTAGGGTGTTGTTTGTTATTTCCACTTAGAAAATCCTCAGATTAATAACACCTTCGATACAGTACAATATAACTGAAATACACAAGTCTCCTTACATTCAGTACATCCAGTCTAGATCAGGAGTTGGTTAAAAATTCACAACAACAGTTGCATCAAGTTGCCTTATTTATCTCTGCCAGCCAGCAGCTGGCCTGAAGACTGTATATTATTTAAATATGTGAACCCTTTTCCTTGTTTTTAGGTATTCTTGAGGTGCTGTACTGTGTCTTAATTGAAAGCCCCGAGGTTCTGAACATCATCCAGGAGAACCACATCAAATCCATCATCTCTCTCTTGGACAAACATGGAAGGAACCATAAGGTAGGCTATATTTCACTGCCAGGAACTGAAAGGGAAAATAAATTAGCTCCATATGATATGCACTCATATTTGAATATTTTCCCATTAACACGTTAAATCTGTTTTGCTGTTGTTTCTTGTCAGGATTTGCAGATGTAATCAAAATATGCAAGATTTAGATGCATGTCTGTAGACACACAGACACGACATCCTTTCTCAGTGTGCACTTTTTGAAATTAGTGTGTGCATGAAGGACTGCCTGTTTGCTTGATTTTACATCAGTGCTAAAGTGCTTTGGAGACACTAGTTTATCTCCTCTTACCAGTATCTCCTGTGGAGGAGGTATTGGTGGGCTATCACATCATCACATCAGTTAGTAGATCTATAAACTGGTAAAGAAAAAAAAGTAGAAGAGAAAGCAAAGACAAAATCCAGGCAAATATATTTTTGCCTGTTGGTGGTAGCTAGCTGGTGTCTGTCTCTCTCCTGTCATGGGCAGCAGTTTTTCTGTTTATCTCATAATGTAAAGACAGTCCTAAATGTCTGAATGAATCTGACTCATAAAAATCCTTTTTGTTCGTGCTGTTCTGTTTTTAGTAATCTTAACCAGCGGATAATCCAGTGATAATTAAGTTAATAAAAGTGTTTATGCTTCTACCTTTAGGTGCTGGATGTCTTGCGCTCTCTTTGTGTGTGTAACGGTGTAGCTGTGAGGTCCAACCAGAACCTCATCACTGAAAATCTACTTCCAGGTCGTGACCTCTTGCTACAGACCAGCATTGTAAACTATGTCACCAGGTACTTGAACTACTGTTGTTTTCAAAATCTGAATCAGGGAAACTTCATTAATCCCAGAGGGAAACTGAGTTATCATAGCAGCATAAATACAACAGACAACAAAGGAATAGCATAAAAAGAAGTGTAGAAATAGAGATACAATTAGATAAATATAAATATAAAAGGACACAAGTATTAACACTAATGTTTCTGGGATATTGCAGAAATTAAAGGTGCACAAGTGTCCAAATATACATTGTTTTGCAATATTTCCACGTTGTTAGTTTTTAGTTATTTCCCCTTGTTGTCTATAAAAGTTAATGCTAATGTACTTTCTCCTCTGTACTCAGTGTAAGGCCCAACATCTTCTTGGGTACATGTGAGGGGTCAACACAGTATAAGAAGTGGTACTATGAGGTGATGGTAGACCATGTGGAAGCCTTTGTGACAGCACAGGCGAGTCACCTGCGGGTAGGCTGGGCTTTGACTGAAGGTTATAGCCCCTATCCTGGAGGAGGAGAAGGCTGGGGTGGTAATGGTGTGGGAGATGACCTCTACTCATATGGCTTTGATGGACTGCATCTGTGGTCAGGTAAGATTTCCTTAAATTCTTTAAAAGAAGATTTACAATCTCTTGTAACCAATACAACCTCTTTACTACCTGCTCTACTGTTCAGGTACTGTGGCCCGCCAGGTGGCTTCGCCCAGTGCACATACACTGGCTGCCGATGATGTTGTAAGCTGCTGTCTGGATCTCAGTGTGCCCAGTATCTCCTTCCGTATTAATGGCCACCCAGTTCAGGGAATGTTTGAAAACTTTAATGTTGATGGCCTCTTCTTTCCTGTTATTAGCTTTTCTGCTGGGGTCAAGTAAGTTTAACATACAAATAAAGCGTAATCCTCTGTTTCACTATTTACTTGTATTTTGTTGATTAATGTAACTGATAAACAGTAAATTCATGTGATACATGTTGATGCAATGCAATTATGCAAGCAGAAGCTAATTTAATGGTTTTTCATGAGTTTGTCACCTTTTAAATTGTAATTTAATTTCAATTATTGGACTATTGGTGTAATAATATACAATGGGGAAGTAACAAAAGAATTATTATTGCATTATATTTCAGAATTTCTCCAGTTTTATATTTTTAATAATTATTATTTTTCTTTTATTTCTTTAGATTATTGTCTAATCTCCCAAATAATAGCTTTAAAATCTTCAGAGTCCTGTCACTTAAAAGCTCTTACAGGATTTGTCTGTAATAAATCTTTAGAGTGCTGAGATGGGGCTTATGCATCATTGACTGATGAGTACAAGAAGGGAAACAGGCTCAGGAACTGGCACAGAAATAAAATCATTTTTTTCTGTATTATGAGTTTTCTAAAGATCAATGAACCATTGTCATAAAGGAGTTTAGTAGTATATAAACCTCTGTCGTATAGATAAAGACTTGGACTCACTTGGTTTTTGTCTCCTTAGGGCTCGGTTCCTCCTCGGTGGTCGCCATGGGGACTTTAAATTCATGCCCCCGCCTGGTTATGCGCCATGCTACGAGGCTTTGTTGCCTAGAGAGAGGATGCGTATTGAACATATCAAGGAGTACAAGCATGACTTTAATGGTGTGCGCAATCTTCTGGGTCCTACTCTGTCCCTCACTCACACATCTTTCACCCCCTGCCCTGTGGACACAATTCAGGTAAAATCCCCTCAGCTAAAATCAGTATTCGATGTCTTTGTTTCTTTTCGTTTTCTGACTTTCCTTTAATTTATAGATTGTCTTGCCACCCCACTTGGAACGTATCCGAGAAAAACTGGCAGAGAATATTCACGAACTCTGGGCTATCACTCGTATTGAGCAGGGCTGGACCTATGGGATTGTGAGTATGGTGTCAGCACTGCAGAACAGATGCAACTATACGAGATTAGTGGTTTGACAACATCAGCTTTAAGTGGTTTGGAGCTTTTAACTGTTAAAAGTTAATATGACTGTTAGAAATGCTTCAAAATGCTTTACACAAGCAAAAAAAAGCATGAACTAACATATACATATATAAATTTACACACATTTATAAACTGTGGGTAAAAAAACTATGATTTTTCCCTCCAGTTTAGGGATGACAACAAGAAACTCCACCCCTGTCTGGTGGACTTCCAAAGTCTGCCTGAACCAGAGAAGAACTACAATCTGCAGATGTCTGCTGAGACGCTCAAGTGAGTAGCAGGTTAGATTTGAGAGATTTAAAGGTCAGAGGAAAACGCTTATGTCCCATTATTGGTGAACTTGTGTCTTTACTTTATTATCCCGCAGGACTCTCCTAGCACTGGGTTGCCATGTTGGTATGGGTGATGAGAAAGCGGAGGAGAATCTAAAGAAAATCAAGCTTCCCAAGACGTATGAAAACAAAAGATATTTCTTATTGTTTCGTCATAATTTTATACTTTAACTATGCAGATCTAAATGTAACCATATCTTTCTGTTAGCTATGTGATGAGCAACGGATACAAGCCTGCCCCGCTTGATCTCAGCCATGTCAAGCTGACACCAAACCAGAATCAGCTTGTAGAAAAACTGGCAGAAAATGGGCATAATGTTTGGGCGAGGGACCGAGTACGGCAAGGATGGACCTACAGCATTGTCCAGGTGATGATTTCCCAATCCTTAGTGGATCTTTTATTTATTGGTGGATTGTCTGTCTTAAAGTACACAATCAATCACTTACAATCACATGCATTGTATATTTTTTTCTTTTCTATATAAAGCTGCATTTTTTACACTTTTCAGGACATTGTTAATAAGCGTAACCCTCGTCTGGTACCTTACAACCTGCTGGATGAGAGAACTAAGAAAACCAACCGAGACAGCGTTAACAACGCTGTCCGTACACTCATTGGCTATGGCTACAACATTGAGCCTCCAGATCAGGAGAGCAGTAAGTAATCTTTCCTCATGTGTTCGCTAGTTAAATGCACAGTATCTTTTTTACACCACCTTTTTTGTCTTTCTTATTCTTATCTGTCATGTTTTCCCCCTTTCACTGCAGCTGGCCATGGCCTTGAGAACACCCGTGGGGACAAGGTGCGAATCTTCAGGGCAGAGAAGTCGTATGCTGTCACCCAAGGAAAGTGGTACTTTGAGTTTGAGGCAGTCTCAACAGGGGAGATGAGAGTGGGCTGGGCACGTCCTAATGTCCACTCTGACACTGAACTGGGAGCAGATGAATTGGCCTACGTCTTTAATGGCAATAAGGTTAGTCACTAGGGTAACATTAAAAATCGAATTTAGACTCGTTAACTTGGTCTATAAAAAATTATATTGTGTAAATGTTTTCTAAATCATTCACATCTTTTTGAATGGGTGACGTGGATCTCAAACTATTAGAAATATTGAATTTTGAGGAGGGAAGTTCTTTAAGTTGTAGGAATAGAAAATATCACACTGTCTTTATTATTTTTGTATAGCTAGGAGAAGGTTGAGGTTTCGTAAACCTGAGGCAAGATGTATTAGTCAGTAGCTAAAAAAGGTTACTGTAGCACACTGTAGCTGGTGGAAATGATGTCTCTGTTTTTGTGGAAATAGGTAATATTTTATTTGTTGTAACCTCTTCCAGGCCCAGCGATGGCATATTGGCAATGAACCATTTGGCCGCCAGTGGCAGTCTGGTGATGTCGTTGGCTGTATGATAGACCTGACTGAGATGAACATCATGTTCACACTCAATGGAGAAATGTTGATCAGTGACTCAGGCTCAGAGATGGCTTTCAAAGATATTGAAATTGGGGATGGTGAGAACTGTTTTTTTTATAGAACCAGCATTAGCACCAATAACTAAAAGTTACTGGTGCCAGTTTGCATTATAAGCAGCAGCTTGAAAAAACTATTAACTAATTCCTTCCCTTTCATGCTACCCATCAGGTTTTATTCCAGTGTGTACCCTGGGTCTATCTCAGGTTGGAAGGATTAATCTTGGTCAAGATGTCAGCAGCCTGCGCTATTTTGCCATTTGTGGCCTGCAGGAAGGATTTGAACCTTTTGCCATCAATATGAAGCGAGACATCACCATGTGGTTCAGTAAAAGTTTGCCCCAGTTTGGGCCTGTGCCTGCTGATCACAACCATATTGAGGTAACTATTCAGAGACATGTGTAAAGTTTAATAAAGTTAGAACTTCAAAATGAGTGATTTCTGTATTTTTGTCTCCTAGGTCTCCCGTGTTGACGGGACCGTGGACAGCGCCCCCTGTCTGAAGCTGACGCACAAGACGTTTGGGTCGCAGAATGCCAACACTGATATGATGTTCCTTAGACTCAGCATGCCTGTGCAGTTCCATGAGACCTTTAAGATCCCGGCAGGTACCACCCCTCTCACCCGTGCCCTTACTATACCTGAGGAGGAAGTCGCAGTGGTAGAACCTGACTCAGAGTTTGAAGTTTTGAAAAAGTCTGCCAGTCGCAAGGAGCAGGAAGAGGACAAGAAGGACCCCTCTGTGCCTAAGGAGATCTCCGTGGAAAATGAGAAGGACACAATGTCAGAAAAGGGAAAGAAAAAAGGGTACGTTTGTCAGTTTGTCACTGCAAAATAATGAAACTCTTCTGGACTGTTATGGTTGCTGGTTTAATATAAATTAAACAGAACAATCTCAATCACCTTCTGTTTTATTATATTTATTTGTTTTGTTTGATTTTACGAATATTTGTGCTACATACCAATAACTGAAGTTGTGATATTTGGCTTGTTCTTTTAGAATGAAATCCACTGAAACTGTAAAGCAGTTAGAAGCCTTTAAAAAACACTAATTCCAAATGTTATTTATCTTCCGTGGACAACAGATTTTTCTCCAAAGCCAAGAAGGCAGCCATGACACCTCTTGCCCCTCCTCCTGCTCCTCCAACGGTGCCACGTTTGGTGGAAGACGTGGTCCCTGATGACAGAGATGATCCTGAGATCATCCAAAATACCACCACTGTGAGATTCACGTTATTATTTGCTACAGTTACACATATTATTACCTGAGATTTTGTCAATTTGAATGATGGCTTTAAGTTTTCATGTAATCTGTAGATAATAAAATAATATGATTTCTTCTTTTTTCCCCCGTCTTTAGTATTACTACTCTGTGAGGATCTTTGCTGGGCAGGAGCCGTCTGGTGTTTGGGTTGGCTGGGTCACTCCTGATTACCACATGTATGATCAAAACTTTGACCTCTCCAAGGTCCGCAGTGTCACTGTCACAGTGGGAGATGACAGAGGCAACATACATGACAGGTTAGTTTTTTTCGTGCATAAATTTTTATTATTGCTGGCCAATCATTGAGGAAAACTTATAAATATATTTTTTATGTATTATTTATTTAATCTTAATTTAATCTAATGACATTTAGGCTAGATTTGTTTATTTAAATGCTGTGGAAGTAAAGACAAACAACACAAAGAAATTACAAATTAAATATGCCTTCATATTAATTTGGCATTGCACCTAAATGAATCAAGCTTATTTCCAGCTCCATATTTTTGTTCTGGGACTTCATTAGAGCAGCTTTATATGCTTTACAGTGAAAAAAAAATTATGGATCTTACTTACTTTGAGATGCAGCCTCTCAGTTCATTATCTGTTTAAGCTCGTGTCTATTTAAGACCCCCTCATGCTAATTGCCCACTTTTCCTCGCCTGGCTGCTGCAAAAAGTCAATTTCTTATTCAAAGGAGCTTGCAAAGAAAAGCGTCTGGACTTCTTTAAGTTGCTTGAAGACATTTCACCTCTCATCCGAGAAGCTTCTTCAGTTCTAAGGTCAAATGGTGGAGAGTCCCAGATATAAACCTAGTGGGAGTTTCCCCCCACAGAGGGACAAAAGGACCCCCTGATGATCCTCTAATCGCCTGAGCCAAGGTGTGAAACTGAAGGACAGACGCAACAACATTGTCATCCCCTATGTAGCCGGTGTATCAGAAAAACTCAGGAGGGTTTTCTCCAAGCATGACATCCCGGTGCATTTCAGACCCAGCAACACGCTCAGACAAAAACTGGTTCACCCGAAAGACAAAACGCCAAAACGCAGACATAACAATGTGGTGTATGCTGTACAGTGCAGCGAGGAATGCCCAGACCTCTACATTGGAGAAACCAAACAGCCACTTCACAAGCGCATGGCACAACATAGAAGAGCCACCTCCACAGGACAAGACTCAGCAGTCCATCTGCATCTTAAGGATAAAGGACACTCTTTCGAGGATGCCAATGTTCACATTTTGGACGGAGAGGACAGATGGTTTGAAAGAGGAGTGAAAGAAGCCATCTATGTCCACTGTGAGCGACCATCTTTGAACAGGGGCGGTGGTTTACGACACAAACTCTCTGCCATCTATAATCCAGTTTTGAGATCCCTTCCCAGACCCCTTAACGCCCACTCACATCCTGGGCCATCTGACCTCAGGAATTCGCATGATAAGGTGGGGCCAGGTTTCACAATGAACTCACCCGAAACTCTGGCTGATTGGGACCCACACCCAGTTTCACACCTTGGCTCAGGCGATTAGAGGATCATCAGGGGGTCCTTTTGTCCCTCTGTGGGGGGAAACTCCTACTAGGTTTATATCTGGGACTCTCCACCATTTGACCTTAGAACTGAAGAAGCTTCACGGATGAGAGGTGAAACGTCTTCAAGCAACTTAAAGAAGTCCAGACGCTTTTCTTTGCAAGCTCCTTTGACTACGATGACCTGGATGACTGAGAACCTTCACAGACAATTTCTTATTCTTAAAAAACTCATATTTTGTAGAAAATACAATCATCAGGTTACTTTTACATATGCTGAACTCATTATTTGAAGCTCTATTCATATTCACAGTGTATGACAGAAAATAAAATAAAGAAAATACAATTCAAAGTTAGTTAGGGTTCTATTTTGCTTACATCTACTTCTTTTTTTTTGGTTTGTTAGTTACTGTAAAGAATTTGGATCAGCTGCAGTATTTCAATTGAGACAGATGAGTTTAACTGGAGTGAGTTTCATTACAGCCGTGTTTCTTGCTCATTCTTTGCAGCATGAAGCACAGTAATTGTTACATGGTGTGGGGAGGGGACCTGGTCAGCAATCAACAGACCCGCTTTAGCCAGGAGGACATGGTGATTGGCTGCCTTGTTGATCTGGCAACAGGTCTAATGACTTTTACGGCAAATGGAAAGGAGATTAATACTTTCTACCAGGTAAGGGAAAGTCAAATAGATTTATCTGTGTTTTTTATTCTTTGCTTTAAATGTATCCTGATGAGCTATGTGACAACGCTATGTTCTGTCAGGTGGAGCCGAACACCAAACTCTTCCCTGCAGTTTTCGTTCAGCCGTTCAGTCAGAACATGGTGCAGCTAGAGTTGGGCAAACTCAAGGTCAGATGGAACGGTTTTCACTCTCTTTTGCAGCTGCCTTTTCTTAAAGTGTCACCAATTTAGAAATGTATGGTAATGTAAGTCAGACCCACGTTGGTGGTCTTTGGGAGTGGAGCACGGTCCAATCTTGCATTGCAATTCTCCTACTTATCTCTTTTAATATTGGACCAGATGTTGTCCATCATTTATTAATGATGATGTTTGGTGTTTTTAATAAAATGAACCACTATTTTTTTTACCTGTACCTTCACATCTGAATTTCTGTATTTTTCAAATCTAGTTGAATTTATTTTTTCCTTCAAATGACAGTAAGCTCACCTCTACTGTATCTCTCATATCAGAACATCATGCCTATCTCAGCTGCGATGTTCCACAGTGAACGTAACAATCCAGTCCCTCAGTGCCCCCCGAGGCTGGATGTCCAGATGCTGACTCCAGTTATCTGGAGTCGTATGCCAAATCACTTCCTCAAACCAGAGTTGGGCAAAGTAAATGAGCGGTTAGGCTGGATGGTGGAGTGTGTTGAACCTCTCATCATGATGGCACTGCACATCCCAGAGGAGAACAGGTCAGAAACAGAATGTCGATGCAGAAAACTCTTAAGTTTAGAGTTTTCATATAGCATTTATGACATTCCTGCTATAAATAATTGAGATAGCAGCAGATCAGCAATCCCTACATCTTTTAACTTTATCATTGCAAATGTCAGTTACTTGTTATACCCGATGTATTTAGAGATGTCAGAGGAAGAAGCTATTTTCTTTTTTCCGCATTAAGAGAGCTGAAAACCAAAAAATACATTTTTTTTATCATGAGAGTGTGATTTAAGAAAGGGAAGGTAAATATATAGAGCGATTAACATATAGTTATTACAAAAGATTTGTCATGATCATATAATGCATACAATGCAATGAAGTTGACTTTTTTTTTCCACAGATGTATTGATATCCTGGAGCTGTCAGAGCGTCAGGATCTGATGAAGTTCCACTATCATACACTCATGCTCTACTGTGCTGTGTGCGCACTTGGGAACAACCGAGTGGCTCATGCATTATGCAGTCATGTGGATGAATCCCAGCTTTTCTATGCTATTGAGAACACCTACCTACCTGGACCTCTTCGCAGCGGCTTCTATGATCTGCTTATCAGCATTCATCTGGAATCAGCAAAACGGGCACGCTTGGGAACCAACAGGGAATTCATTGTTCCCATGACCGAAGAGACCCTCAGCATCAAGCTCTATCCTGATGCAATAAAAGCCCACTCCTTACCTGGTGTTGGTCTCACTACCTGCTTACGGCCAAAGCTGCATTTCTCATCCATCAACTTTGTTGGCACAGACCCTGATTTGTACACCATTAGTCCTGTCTTTCCTCTACAGGTAAGAAACAGGAGACAAGGTGCATTAAACCAAAAATCTTAAATGTTTTCTGCCTTTACTTACTTGTTATTTTGCTTCTGTAGGAGCTGAAAACAAAGGCGATTAACATGTTACGAGAGGCTGTGCTGGATGGTAGCCAGGCCATGCGGGATCCAGTAGGAGGCAGTGTAGAGTTCCACTTTGTCCCAATCTTGAAGCTAATCAGTACACTGCTTATTATGGGCATCTTCAATGATGATGACACCAAGCACATTCTCAAGATGATCGATCCCAATGTTTTCAGTGGAAAGGAAGGGGAGGAAGCTGAAGAGGGTGGAGCTGCTGAAGGAGAAATTGAGGAAAAGAAGGAGGAGGAATCGGAAGAAGCAGCCGAAGACGAGCTTGAGGATGAAGGGGTTGGGGATGAGGAAGAGGAGGAGCTAAAAGAGCTGGAGAAACGAGAGGGTGGGGAGGAAGAGGCTGAGCCCAAGGAAGAAGGAGAAGAGGAGGAAAAGGACAAAGAAGAGGCTAAGAGAGGAAAGGTAGATGGAGAGAAAGCAGAGGAAGAGAAGGAGTCAGAGGCAGTGGAAGCAGAAGCACAGGAGGAAGACGAGGGTCTGGAGGAAGGACTGCTACAGATGACGCTGCCAGAGTCTGTCAAACTGCAGGTCATTGTGATGTTTAAACTATGACTGCTTTACAGTTTCACAACTGATGTGGATAATTGTGTCAGAGGATCTCATATCATAAATTGTTTTGTTTTTTTAAATTATTAGCATTAGAACTTATGTTCCTGTCTCACCTTGCTCTTTCAGATGTGCACACTCCTGCAGTACTTCTGCGATTGCGAGCTGAGACACAGGGTGGAAGCCATTGTAGCATTCTCAGACCAGTTTGTCCATGATGTTAAGAGCAATCAACGTGTCCGTTACAACCAGCTAATGAGAGCCTTCACCATGTCAGCTGCTGAGACTGCACGCAAGACCCGGGAGTTCCGCTCGCCTCCACAGGACCAGGTAATAACTAATATTATCACACTAAACAAATGTCTCATAGGCTCCAGGTTTGAATTAATTTAGATGGTATTTCTTAGTTGATATTCATCTTTGAAAAGTAAAAACTTACACTGAGAACAGTGTAACTTAACAGTTTATCATCAGATCTAAGGATTTAAAGATTAATTATAATGATTAAGTACAAACCATGTACTTGATGACTTAATTATTAGTTCTTGAGATCTGATGATAAACTGTTAAGTTTCCCATATGCTGTTCAGACGACAACAAAACGAACCATATTTATAGCAAAAGACACACAAAATATCCTGATATAGCTGCTATAATGTGCTCTCTGTTAAGGTTCTTATGCTAACGAACTTCAAACACTTGGAGGATGAAGATTCTCCAGTTCCCGAGGACGTGCGGGAAACACTGGCAGAATTCCACAATGACCTCTTGCTTCACTGTGGTGAGCATTTTTGTGTAATTATGAATTTCTTCAGGTGTGAAAAGCTGTTTATGGGTGTTTAATGCTGTTGTCACATTTTTACCATAGGTATACATATTGAGGAGGAACCAGAGGAGGAGGAGGTGGACACTTCACTGAGGGGCAGACTTGTTAGTCTGGTAGACAAGGTTAAAAGCCTCCGTAAGAAGAAGGAGGAGGAGGAAAAGCCAGAGGTGGAGGAAGAAGCAAAACCCAGTAAGATTAACACTTAGATTACCTGTGAAACAGTTGAAGGACCCGATCTGCATTTTCTTTTTAGCTTTAGGGTAAGAGTTAAATTGAGTTTATAACACGCTCTTCCTTCATTTCACCCAGGCACCCTTCAGGAGCTGATCTCCCACACCATGATCCACTGGGCTCAGGAGTCTTTTGTTCAGAACCCTGAGCTGGTGCGACTGATGTTCAGCCTTCTACACCGACTGTACGACGGTCTTGGCGAGCTGATCCGAGCACTGCCCAAAGCATATGCCATCAATGCCGTGTCCGTTCAGGACACCATGGAACTACTTGAGTGTTTGGGACAGATCCGATCACTGCTCATCGTCCAGATGGGTCCTGAAGAGGAGCGGCTTATGATCCAGAGCATTGGGTTAGTGTGGGGGATAAATAGTGTATACTTTGGAATTTAGAGTTAGTTTGTTACATTTTGAGTTATAATAATAGAACATGTGATGTTATTTTATTAAGTAATGTAACACTGATGTATGGCTTCTGTTTTTTTTTTTTCAGAAATATCATGAATAACAAGGTGTTCTACCAACACCCCAATCTGATGAGAGCTCTGGGTATGCATGAGACTGTGATGGAAGTGATGGTCAACGTGTTAGGTGGAGGAGGAGATTCGAAGGTAACTGTGATTTCTTCAAGCCTTTCACTTTCCAGGCCTGCAATTTATAACACAGCACACATCAGACATTATGCATCTGAGAAAAATGTTTGTTTTTTTCTTGCCCAGGAGATTCGATTCCCCCAAATGGTGACCAGCTGCTGTCGTTTCCTGTGTTACTTCTGCCGTATCAGCCGACAGAACCAGCGTTCTATGTTTGAGCATCTGAGCTACCTGTTGCAGAACAGCGGCATCGGCTTGGGTGAGTCCCCTGTTACACTGTTTACTGTACTCTGTGTATGGCTTATTATGGACAGATTTTATTTTTAAATCTTTTTTATTTTGAATAATCATGAAACAATTATAATAAAATTTAATTCACTGAAGCATGCAGGTAAGACGTTTCTAAATGAGTTTTAATGTGCTGGGATCTTTATACCAGGTGATGAATGAATAAACTCACTGATTATATCCCTATGTAGGCATGCGTGGATCCACACCCCTGGATGTGGCTGCAGCCTCCTGTATTGACAATAACGAGCTGGCCTTGGCTTTACAAGAGCAGGAACTGGAAATGGTTAGAGAGAAAAATTTTTTTAAAAAAAGGCTATAGTGGAACTGTTATCTGATAATCTCTCCTTTTGGTACTCACACGAGGTAGGTGGTGACATACTTGGCAGGCTGTGGACTGCAGATGTGTCCAATGCTCTTGTCTAAGGGCTACCCTGACATTGGCTGGAATCCTTGTGGCGGCGAGAGATACCTGGATTTCCTCCGCTTTGCTGTCTTCGTTAATGGTTGGCTTTGATTATTTTATAATGATGAGATTTGTAAGTAGTCGCCACTAATATTTACCTCCTCCTACAACCTACTCCCCTTAGGAGAAAGCGTGGAAGAGAATGCCACCGTTGTGGTGCGTCTGCTCATCCGTCGCCCTGAGTGCTTTGGCCCAGCCCTGAGAGGAGAGGGTGGTAATGGCCTGCTGGCTGCAATGGAGGAGGCCATCAAGATATCAGAGGATCCGGCAAGAGATGGGCCCACTGTTAAGAAAGACAGGCGCTTCATGTAAGGGCTGGCGCAGTGGCAGTGAATTCGATTTTTGTTGACAAAATAACACCAACTAACAGCTTAGACAAATCACTGTGTAGTTTCACAGCAGCACAACAAATTTTCTTATAGAAAATAACATTATCTGGATTGGCAGGTTTGGTGGTGAGGAACAGCACGAGGAGAACCGTGTGCATCTGGGAAATGCCATCATGTCCTTTTACTCGGCTCTCATTGATCTGCTGGGTCGCTGTGCCCCAGAGATGCATGTAAGTAGAGCAGCTTTTAATATATTTCTATCCCTCAAACCTCCAGGAAGAGTGGATCTGTGGGTGTTTGATTTGTAGGAGTTAGTTTCATATAGCACAATTTATTTATTTTTTTTATTTGTAGCTGATCCAAGCGGGTAAGGGTGAAGCTCTAAGAATCAGGGCCATCCTGAGGTCTCTGGTGCCTATAGAGGACCTGGTTGGAGTAATCAGCTTACCTGTGCAGATTCCAGCATATGGCAAAGGTTGGATAAAAAGTTATGCTGATACAGGGATGTTTTGTAATAATTTAAAAAATGTGCCGCCCTACTTCATAAGGTTTTTTTTCCTATCTAACCACAGATGGCCAGATTATTGAGCCCAAGATGTCTGCCAGTTTTGTGCCAGACCACAAGGCCTCCATGGTGCTCTTCCTCGACAGAGTGTACGGTATTGATAACCAGGACTTCCTGCTTCATGTGCTTGAGGTTGGCTTCTTGCCTGACATGAGAGCTGCAGCTTCTCTGGATACGGTGAGAAAAAAAAGGCACAGACCTAACAGATAAAATTTCCTTCTGTAAATTCTAGATTTCAGTACAAAGTCTGCATATTGATGTAATTTGCTATAGATTCCCTTTGATATAGTTAATGTATCCGTCTGTCTTTAAGGTAATGCAGTGAGTCTAAGCAGTTTTTTGTCTTCTCTGATTTTAGGCGGCATTCAGCACAACTGAAATGGCCTTGGCTCTGAACCGCTACCTCTGTTCGGCTGTACTGCCTCTTCTTACAAAGTGTGCGCCATTGTTTGCTGGAACAGACCACCGGGCCATCATGATCGACTCCATGCTCCACACAATTTATCGCCTGTCTCGTGGCCGAGCCCTTACCAAGGCTCAGAGGGATGTTATAGAGGAGTGTCTCATGTCCCTCTGCAAGTCAGTATTTAAAAAAACCCTCTCTGTATAGCAAATGCTAAATAAGCAAGCTGAATAACTCCAAAAAGGAAGCCTTTATTTTCTATTTGTTTAACCTTTATTCAGCCTGGGGAGGTTTTCGAGACATTATCTCTTTTACAAGAAAGATCTAATGATAACGGCAAATTCACAACAAATTACAAACTTTGAAGTGAATGATGAAACGTGCCTTTTCAAACAGTTTTAAACTTACGGTGATATCCACAGATACCTTCGACCCTCTATGCTGCAGCATTTGCTTAGACGGCTGGTGTTTGACGTACCCATCCTCAATGAATATGCAAAGATGCCTCTCAAGGTGAGTCTTCTGTATAACAGCGTTCTGTTTGTTTGTTTATATAATCTAATTTTTATATCACATATGAATTGAATTGCTTCAGCTGCTGACCAATCACTATGAGCGCTGTTGGAAGTACTACTGCTTGCCAAATGGATGGGCGAATTTTGGGGTGACTTCTGAGGAGGAGCTGCATCTTTCTCGAAAACTCTTTTGGGGAATCTTCGAATCGTTGGCACACAAGGTGGGAGATGTTGTTAACCTTCCATAAGTGCACATCGTTTAAGTTAAGGAATTACTAACTTGGCTTCTCTAATATGAATTTAAATTCTAGAAATTTGATGCAGAGCTCTTCAAGATTGCCATGCCCTGCCTCTGTGCTATAGCTGGAGCCATCCCCCCTGACTATGTGGATGCCAGCTACTCCTCTCACACTGAGAAAAAGGCCTCTGTGGATGCTGAAGGCAACTTTGATCCAAAACCAGTAGAGACCACCAAGTGAGAACTGAAAGAAAGACTGTTTGATGTTATTTTAGTGCATTATTGCTTTTGGAAGAGAGTCAACGTGTACCTTGTCAGTGATGGATAGTTATAATTACATATTTGAACAGATTTTTTAAAGATTGTTTCCAGTTTCAGTTGTATTTGTCATATGCAAGCTAGCACAGGGTCTATGGAATGCTGGGACTGCCATAATGAATGAATGAATGAATGAATGAATGAATTAATTAAATACACCATTAAATAATTAATTAAATGTGTCAATAATTGAAAAGAATTCATTAAAATGGGAAATAATTGATTAAATAAATATTTAATTAAATTTTATATATTAATTATTTATTTATTTACAATTGTAATCAATTATTGCCACAATTAATTAACTTTTTAATGGTGTATTTAATTAATTCATTATGTCAGTCCTGGCACTCCATAAGGGTCAACATTGCAATAAAATGTATTTGACGAGCAGCAGACAGTCACACAGCAGTTAAAAAAAATAAAATAAAATATATATATATATAGTGATCGTGAGAGAGAATATATATATATATATATATATATATATATATATATATATATATATAATATATATATATATATATATATATATATATATATATATATATTTATATATATATATATATATATATATATATATATATATGTATGTATAAACTGTAGGACAGCTTCTGAGTGCATCCTGTGGAGTGTGGTGTGTGCGTTTAAGTGTTGCTCAAATCTTCAAGTGCAGTTATGAATGTAACTGAAAAGGAAGATATAAACATCTTACATGAAACTACACTGTAATTTCTATAAAGTCATAGTGGCATTCTGAAGTTAAGTTTAGATATTAGATTATTTGAGTAACAGTAAATATGACTAAATTTTCAGCACTATCATCCCAGAGAGACTGGATCCTTTCATCAACAAGTATGCAGAACACACTCATGATAAATGGGCTTTTGAAAAGGTCAGTAATAAGGGAATAATGTAAGCAATAATGTTTTTTAAAGTATTATTTGTAATAATTGCTTAAATCATTTTTCAGATTCAGAACAACTGGACGTATGGAGAGGTGCTAGATGAGAATGCTAAGACTCACCCGATGCTCCGGCCATACAAAACATTCTCTGAAAAGGTAATGATTTTTCACTTGTTTTAGTCTGAAGCTTGAAATTCTGAACACTTAATCATATCTAACCTTTTGTAGTGTCCCTGTGTTCCATTAAATATGAGGATGCCAGATCTTCTTAATTAGTATTCATTACCCATGGACCTTTTGACTATTTTTGCATGATTATTGTTATGGGCATTCATAGTATAGCTTAGTTGTTAATTGTAAAGCCCTCTACCTCCTTTTCTCAGGACAAGGAGATTTATCGTTGGCCCATTAAAGAATCCGTCAAAGCTATGCTAGCATGGGAGTGGACCATAGAGAAAGCAAGGGACGGAGAAGGAGAAGTCGAGAAAAAGGCCGCCGCCACCACCGCCACGCGCAAAATCTCTCAAACTGCTCAGGTAAAAGTCCATATAGGAATGCAAGGTTTTTACATAAGTGTAAAAACAGAACATTTGTGGATCATGCAAAATGAATTTTCTCTTGGCCTAATTAAATTGGGGAAACAATGGAGTTTCTCTTTTACTGAAAAACTTCACATGGACACTGTTACACACAAGATCTTTTTTTAAATTGTCTTCAGGCCACTTATGATCCGAGTCACGGATACAGCCCTCAGCCAGTAGACATCTCAGGAATGGCCCTCTCCAGAGAGTTGCAAGTATGTCTCTTCTGGTCAGATTTTCCCCAGCATTTATAGGTCACACAAGTTGCTCACATACCTTTAAAGAACTAGGTAGAATAATTATTTATTTTCTTTCCACATAGTCTATGGCTGAACAGCTAGCAGAAAACTATCACAACACCTGGGGCAGGAAGAAGAAGTTGGAGCTACAGTCCAAAGGCAAGAGTAGTTTTTATTACAGTAAACTGGGAGTTTTCTTTTTAATGATATGTTGATTTAAAAAATGACTTGTGCCCTTGCTAGGTGGTGGTACTCATCCTTTGCTCGTGCCTTATGACACATTGACGGCTAAGGAGAAGGCCAGAGACAGGGAGAAAGCCCAGGACCTGCTCAAGTTCCTCCAGCTTAATGGATATGCTGTGACGAGGTAAGCTGGAGCTCTCAGTTTAAGATTAGAGCTATCCATTTTTCTCTTTCAACTCCTTCCATATTTCCTCCATCTTTTTTTCCACTCCTAGAGGTCTAAAGGATATGGAACAGGACATCTCCTCCATTGAAAAGCGTTTTGCTTATGGCTTCCTTCAGAAGCTTCTTAAATGGATGGACATTGCCCAGGAATTCATCGCTCATCTTGGTACTGTGATTGAACACACATAGATTTTTGTACTTATACTGTGTGCACTGCTGTTTAGACCAGAAATAAAGTCAGAAGTGGTTTAATTATTATTTTTATTTTTTCTAACAGAGGCTGTAGTTAGCAGCGGTAGAGTGGAAAAGTCACCACACGAACAAGAAATCAAATTCTTTGCCAAGGTGAGCTTCTTTATTCGTCGTACTTTTTTTCAGATGTCAGAGGGTGATAGTTGTAACAGAATCCTGTGCTGAAGTTGTAGGGACTGAAAAAACTGCCACAATTTGTGTTTTTGAGAAACACCTTTTATTCTGTAGCTTTACTAAGCAGATACTATTTATAATTGGATATTTTATGCTGGGTTATTTTTTATAGATCCTCTTGCCGCTGGTAAATCAGTACTTCAAGAACCACTGCCTGTACTTTCTCTCCACTCCTGCCAAAGTATTGGGCAGTGGAGGTCATTCCTCAAATAAAGAGAAGGAGATGATTGCGAGGTATGTGTCATAAAACCATATTTTTAAAAAAATCAATCTTACCTTGAATTATGTGTCCTGAAAAAATTGGCATTTCCTTTCCCTTTAGGACAGTGTGATAGTATCTGTCCTCTCCTTCCATGTCCCTCCATCTTTCTCCTGTTGTGTGATATCCATGATCTCCTTTACTTTCCTTTTGCTTTATGTGTACTTCAAACATTTTTCCTGCCTTGTTTCCCCTTACTATACTCCCTTCCTCTCTCCCTTCCTCTTTTCTCCTCCTACCTCAGTATCTTCTGTAAGTTGGCTGCTTTGGTGAGGCACAGAGTATCTCTTTTTGGTAAGGAAATTGCATGATGTCATGCCCTGTCACCATCTCTGTATTTGTTTTCCTGTGTAATTTCTCTTTATTACAGCGTTTTATTTTTTTGCTTCTTCCTCCTCCCTACCTTTACTTTACATACTAATCAAACTAATAAATCATCGTCACCTCCTCCTAACTTACCAGTTCTTCTCTTCTCTGTCTTTAGCTCAGCTTTTGCTTGGCTTTAATGTTTGCTGTAGTTTGTCTTTGATTTAAAAGGTATCCACAAAGTTAGCATGAATGTCTGTGACGGCGTCAGATATCCACTGGTACTGTACTGCAGCTTTGTCGTGTCTTATCATCCTGGCTTATATGAGACAATGAATGCTTTGTTGTCATTTTACTCCCCTTCACCACCATATGTCTTAAGTAGACTGTCATTGTTACATGGCCAGTGGACAGGTGAGCTTGTCTCACCAGCACAATATGATCTTCCACTTTAAACGTGCCTAAATAAAACTCTGTGATGGTGGCATTGCACTTAAGAAACTGTTTTTAACAACTTTTTATGCTCTTTTCTTAAATAATAATTATTGTTGTTTCAGCTATGTATTTAACATTTGTGATTCAGAAGATTCAGACTTTACCGTTGTAGTGTAATTGTGAGTTTGCTCAATATTTCCCAACAAACTGTATACCAGGTTTAGAGCTAATTGTGGCATTTGCAGTAATTTGGGCTCTTGTAGAGCTGAAGGATAGCACTGACAATGCACCTTTTTTGTTATGTTTTCAGGAACGGATGCCCCTGCAGTGGTAAACTGCCTGCACATTCTCTCACGATCACTGGATGCCAGGTAGATCACAATATACCCATAAAACATCCCTATTGCTCCTCAAGCAAAGAGAAAATGGAAACAAACTGTCTGAGATTTTTAGAAAAACGTTTTCTCTGTGTATTCTTTAAGGACTGTTATGAAATCAGGCCCTGAGATTGTGAAAGCCGGCCTGCGTCAGTTCTTTGAGAGCGCTGCGGATGACATTGAGAAGATGGTTGAAAATCTGAAACTGGGCAAGGTGTCCAGTCGAAACCAGGTCAGAGAGGGTTTTCTCTTCTTTTTGCTCACTAAACAAATGTGTTCATGTTTTTCTTGTGAACTGAAATCTGTATTTGTGTGTTGTTTACAGGTTAAGGGTGTAGCACAGAATATCAACTACACCACCACTGCCCTGCTGCCAGTCCTCACTTCACTGTTTGACCACATTGCCCAACACCAGTTTGGTGATGATGTCATGAGTAAGTAGAATGCTTTTGTCCTTTAAATGAACCATTAATGACTTGTTACTCTGGACCAACTCAGAGCTAATGAAGTCTCTTCTCGACATTCTCAGTGGACGACTTGCAGATATCCTGCTATCGTCTAATGTGCAGCATCTACTCTTTGGGCACTGTGAAGACTCCACATGTGGAGAAGTGAGTAGAGACATGGTCTAAAAAAAAGCCTGGAACTAGTTTTACTTTTTTCATTATATATCAGATATCATAACAAGAAACATTTATTTTTCTTTATGCGCATGTATTCTTTCAAAGGTTGATTTTGCATGTGTTATTTCATACAGACATCTTATGAGTATGCATGTTTTTCCTTCCTTTGCAGACAGCGACCAGCTCTTGGCGAGTGTTTGGCCCACTTAGCAGCTGCTATGCCGGTAGCCTTTCTTGAACCAGTGCTAAATGAATTCAACTCATTTTCTGTTTACACGACCAAGACTCCTAGAGAGAGAGCAAGTGAGTTCTTTTACCTTTATGATTCATTTTACATGCTTCAAACTATTAGATAGTGTTCATGCTGAGTTATTTTTCATGTCCGTGATTTCACTCGTCTTTTCTCTCCCCGCTTAGTTCTTGGTCTTCCCAATCAAGTAGAAGAGCTGTGTCCTGACATCCCAGAACTGGAGATTCTGATGAAAGAGATCCATGACCTGGCTGAGTCTGGAGCTCGCTACACAGAAATGCCCCATGTGATTGAGATCACCTTGCCCATGCTGTGCAACTATCTCCCGCGCTGGTGGGAGAGAGGCCCAGAGAACTTCCCCGAGCAGGACGGCCAGCTCTGCACCGCTGTCACCTCCGAGCAACTCAACCAGCTGCTGGGTAGCATCATGAAGATTGTGGTTAACAACCTGGGTATAGATGAAGCCTCTTGGATGAAAAGATTAGCAGGTTAGTGACCAGAGGATTTACAATAAGCCAAAATAATGTCACGTGACACACAGCTATAGTATTGCAGCATATCATAATGTGTAAACAGCTACATTTTCACATGTTACACAACTATTATTTGGAGATGACTGGCAAATGTTTTGTGCCTTGTCCAGTGTTCGCTCAGCCCATTGTCAGCAGGGCTAAACCAGAGATGCTTAAATCCCACTTTATCCCAACCATGGAAAAGCTGAAGAAGCGTGCAGCAAAGGTGGTGGCAGAGGAGGATCATCTGCGCATGGAGGGCAAAACAGAGGTGGACAGCGAAAACGGGACCATTCGAGATGAGTTTGCTGTACTCTGTCGGGACTTGTACGCTCTCTACCCTTTGCTCATTCGCTACGTGGACAACAACAGGTAGCTGAGATTAGCAGCACCTTTATATGAAACACATTTCTGCTTCAGTTTTCTTTTTTTTATTGAAATTAGAAATTTAGGGGAGCATAATATGACGCTTTTTTGTCTTGCAATGAGGCACAATGTTGTTATTGAGGCAGAGGGATGGAACCAGGGAACTAAACCTACAAGAAATAATAAATTCAAAATCTGAACAGTAGAACAGGAAACTCCACAGGAACAATAATTCAAGGTTTTAAAAGAAAGCTCCACTTTCATTTCACCCTTTTTTTTGCTGGTCATGATTCACGTTTAAGAACTATCTATTGCTGCCTGTGTCTGTAGGGCAAGTTGGCTGACTTGTCCAGACCCAGATGCAGAGGAGCTTTTCAGGATGGTGGGTGAGGTCTTCATTTTCTGGTCCAAATCCCACGTAAGTCTTCTGTTTTCTGACATCATATATGTATGCATTTATTCCGTCTCTCGTTTAGCATCTTTATTGTGTTATATATTGCAGAACTTCAAGAGGGAGGAGCAGAACTTCGTGGTGATGAATGAGATCAACAACATGTCCTTCCTGACTGCTGACAGTAAGAGCAAGATGAGCAAGGTACTATCTGAGAGCAAAGGAAATGTAAAAGTAAAACATTGCCTGTTCTCTAGAGGTTTGATTCACCTACTTCCATATCTTGAGTCATAACACATTAAGAAACTAAACTCTAATAATTAATGTTTCACTAACACCACCCATTACAAGCAGAGAAAAGTAACAGGAAGCCCTTCTTGGTGTTTTCTCAGCTGTTATTTCATTGTTTTTCTTTAAGCTGCTGTAGCTTTATGATTATTCTGTAAGTGTTCATTTCAGTCATTTCACAAATAAGTTTCTACAAGAAGACTGATGGGCTGTTACATAAATATTAATATCCTTTTTTTCCCAGGTCTGTGTAAGCGGCAGTATATAGTGTAGTAGTAAGATTGTTGCTAACTGTTTTTTCTCCATATATATCCTGTGTCGGGGTTGGACGCTGGGCCACTAGGCCGGAGATGGAGAGGTTAGACCGTGTTTGTGCACGAGAGCTGTGCTGATCGCATGGCACCCTGAGTTTGCGGAGGCATTTCATCAACTGCTAATAGACAGATCCCAATATTCACACGTATACAAACACACAAACACACACATACAGGGTTTTTCCTCTTAGGAGAGACTTCACTACACATCTATGAGTGAATGAATGAAGTGTGAGATTATATTATACACAAATATATTAGTGATGTTTTTTAGGAGTAAAGAATGTGAGTGTGAATGTGTCGCAAACATATGCTTTTATGTGTGTCTGTATATGTGTGAGTAGGGGTCCGGAGCAGCTTGATGAAAGCTCTTTGCTGTAGATCACAGTAGTGTGAAAGGTTTCATGGTGCTCGGCAGAGCAGTAGCGTATATAATTTGGTGTGTGCACTCCTGCAGCCGAGTACCATCACCCTGTTTTTCTTTGACCAGTAAATAGTTTGCCTTTCGATGATCCTTGTTGGATACAGTTATGGAGCCCGTGCTACTGTGATGTTACTTGTGTCACTGATGCTTGGGGTTTTTTTTTTTTCAGCTTTTGTGTCAGAGATTCCTGCACTGGGGGACTCTTCTCTTTTCAGTAGCTGTTTAAACCAAAAGTCCATACCCTGCTGTTGCTCGGTCCACCAGTAGCAAATGTCAGTCGCTGGATCTTTTGCAGGAAATTAAGCTAGCTCTCACTACATCACCAGAATACTGTCATCATATTTACTAACTGGACTCGTTACTTCATGTCATGTTCATTGACACCATTAAATTGTTAAATAAACCTAATCACTGTTTGATGTTTTACGTGGTTGGTGCAAGTAGAACCTCTTCTCCTGGGCTATCAGATGGGCATTACTGTAGTGAGCTTCTGTTTCCTGATCATCACAATGACTCTCAAAGCCCATAGAGTGTTTTCCACCCACACACACCAACACCAAGCATGCACAATAAGGGCAGAGAGGGTGCTGTGAGGCCAGACAACAGACAGTAATGAGCATTGTCAGGCTCTGGATAGGAGCGTGTGAGAAGAGCTCCACGGCGATGGAGCTGACCCCATGTGCTGTTCTCTGTGATGTCCAATGGACAGGATGTGCCCTGTCTGGCCACTGCAGTACTAACAGTGAAGCTGCATTGTGTGTAACACCTGTTGCTGGTGCAGCAATGAAGCACATGACATGACACGAAAAGTTGAAGAAAATATGTTGTTTAGTTGTTAAATATTCTCCAAAGCCTTAAATGCCACAAACCATTTTCTGAAAAGGGATTTTTTATTGGTGCCATATAGTTGTTTCATGGAATAGAAAGTGTTCAATCAGTTTAATCTCTCTGTAGTCTGGCAGCTCAGAGCAGGAGCGTACCAAGAAGAAGCGACGGGGGGACCGCTACTCTGTGCAGACCTCCCTAATTGTAGCAGCGCTAAAGAAGATGCTTCCCATCGGCCTCAATATGTGCTCTCCTGCAGACCAGGAACTCATCAACCTTGCCAAGATCAGATACTCACTGGTACTTGTGCTTATTAATGTGATTTCTTTGGGCAAAACTTGCTTCATAGATTAATAGCGCTTTAAATTTCTATAGTGCAAAAGCGTTGCTTCTTTGTTAGCATACATTTTGACACAAAATGGGTAGAAATGATTTTATCTCTCTCTATATATATAATAATAATTTTTCCACAGTCATATAACTCTGTTACTTTTTTCATTCCCAAATTTGTTTAGAGGCTGCGTGCTGTTAATTACTAAACTATAGGATTATAAATGTCCTCCAAATCTTGGTTTCTTTAACTCGTAGAAAGACACAGATGAAGAGGTGAGGGAATTCTTGCACAACAACCTGCATCTGCAAGGCAAGGTAGGCAGACTTTTTATTTCTTTACTAACTGAAAGAAGATAATAAACGCATTCCTGTATAAATCTATTCATTCTGTTCATTATACACATTGACGTGTTATATTTTAGGTAGAGGACCCAGCAATGCGCTGGCAGATGTCTCTTTATAAAGAGATGTCTGGGAAAGCAGAAGATGCCGATGATCCGGAGAAGGTGGTGAAGAGAGTACAAGAGGTGTCTGCTGTCCTTTACCACATTGAAGTGGTGAGTACAACCAGGCATCCTCAATAAAAGAAGGTCTGGAACTGGCTCTCCGTTTAAAAAGTCCTTATCTCTCTGATCCTATGACTATAACCCAGCAGGCAATGCAGAGCTTAAGAAAATTGAGACATTTTCCAAGATAATTATTTATTTTTTGTACATTAGACTGAACATCCCTTCAAGTCAAAGAAAATGGTTTGGCACAAGCTGCTGTCTAAACAGCGTCGCAGAGCTGTGGTGGCCTGTTTCAGGATGACGCCTCTGTACAACATCACCACGTAATGATTAGCAACTTACTTATTCAAAACATGATCGACAATAAAATCAAAAGGCTTTATGAGGCATTATACCTAATTATCTTAATTATCCCTAATTGTCAGTGATCTTTCATTGTTTGCAGGCACAGGGTAACCAACATGTTCTTGGATGCATACAAACGCAACTGGTTAGAAACCGAGGGTTACTCATTTGAAGACAAGATGATTGATGACTTATCAGTAAGTTACACTTTCATTAATGTTTCATCACTGGCATATTGTCTATTCTTTATACAAAGGGTCTGTCATGTTTTATCCTATCTATTAACGATTAGAAAACCATGGAAGAAGAGGAGGAAGAGGAAGAGGAGACTGAGACGAAGCCTGACCCCCTTCATCAGCTGATTCTTCATTTCAGCCGCACAGCTCTTACAGAAAAGCTGTGAGAGCGTCTTTCTTCCTCTGCCTCAGTTCTCTGACCTGTTCCTCAGTGACACTTACTGATTCCTGCTCTGTGGTATTTCTTTACAGTAAACTTGATGTTGACCATCTCTATATGTCATATGCTGATATTATGGCAAAGGTAAGACCTGTAAAACACCAATGGGAATAGATCTTGAAGCTGAACTTCAGAAGAGAATAATTCACCGACATTCTGTCTGCTGCTTTCAGAGCTGCCACATTGGTGAGGAGGACGAAGGGGGAGAACAGGAGGGGGAGGAGCCATCCTTTGAGGTGCGACAGACAGAGATGGTATGGGGGGACCAGGGGAAGGGAGGCAGGGGAGTCAGCGGAGAAGCAGCTCCCTACGCACTGAGTGACTACACCATGACATCACACTCGGCACATCCCCCCCACCCCACTCTTGCTACATTTCTCTTTTTTTTCCCTTTCTGTCTTCCTTTCGTTAACTCACACCACGTGTCTATTTCCTGTTGTGGTGGACTGACCTGTGCATGCCTTTCCTGGACTCTGCACACCAGTCGGGATCAATATTCTGAAAGAATGTTTTTTTTGTTTTGTTTTGTTTTTTCTAAATTGCATGACTCGAGTGTAGAGATGACGGCAGCTAAAGAATTCAAAATAAAACCCAGGTGAAGACAGACAAGTGAGTCTGTACTAGCTATTGAAATTTCAGAATCACAGTTTCCAAGCCCAAGGTGTTTCGACACTGTAATGTTGCAGCTGTGGTGATTTCAGAATTTCTGTTCCTTTTGGAACCTGATACGTAAATTGTGATGTTGCCCCTTTTAGACTTAATTTAGTAAGAAACAGATAATGGCGATTAATTAAGCCATAGCACAGGATCCCTAACAGGTCCCCTGTGCAAGTCTCAGAGTTTGTGGTCAGTGTCTTCTAGACATGCACCACCCTTTTCTGACTCACAACTCATGTAATCACCTGCTAATTTGACTGTGTTCACCCATATAGACTCACCTGAAAACTAGAGTTCTAACATCTGACAACTAATTGATTTTTGTTTGTCTTTCCTTTGAATTGGACAGCGCTAACAAGTTTCCCTCTCTGTGCTCACCAAGAATACAGTAAAAGCCTGCACAGTCAGCCGTACATATACCGCCCCAAGCCCAAACACACTCATGCGAGCATACAACAGCTACATTCACAGAGACATTCATTCATACACACAGTTTCTTTCCATTCTTTCTATTCATACTCTTATGCTGAGCGGAATCTCTGTAACCAGAGAAAAGTGCATTCATGTTTTTAAAACACTTCAGGCTCATGAGGGAGGGGGGCGGAGGGAGGGTTAGGTAGAGGTTTGGGTGCTTTGGGTGGGGGTCTGTGCATGATGTGCAGTGGGTGGGTCAAATGTAACCTCTTTTGTCAACAGGATGGTTGTTCATTACCTGCTATTATTATAGTATTTGTACTGTACCACAGAATAATATAAAAAAGACAAGTATAGTGCAGCATAGTCCGAATAGCGTGAGTTAGAATACTGCGTCACGCAGCATTAAAGTTTGTGTGTTTTTTTATTCACTTTAATCTTAATATGTTATATTAAACAGTATGCAGTGTCTGCAGATGTGCAGACTCATTTGTTTGTCTAGTGTTCAGTAGTTTTAAAATATCACATACCTTTATTAATCTAATTCAAATAAATCTGAAGGGTGATGAGTGATTTGACAGTTTGACAAAGACTGCTGCTGTATAACTAAATGGTGCTCATAACCAATCAGCCTTTTTCAGAGTAAATATTTCAAAGTTGTTGAATAAAACAGTCTTTTTTTATTTTCATATCGTGACAAGTCAAAACTCTAAATGTCGAAAATATTTAGTCAAGCAAGCAACTTTTCCTCAGTTTCAGTTTAGGGTCTTATAGTTTATCTAAAAAGCAGACAAGCGTCACATACAGACAGGCTACTCCAGGTAGCATAAAATATAAGTTTAGGCTGTGAAGTAGAACAACCCTAAGCTGTTCTGTTGGAAGCAGGGGTTGCATGTTGTTTTACTCCAGCAACTGATGTTGCTTCCTAAGAAGAATATGTGAAGTGTGTGTTACAATCTGGGATGAAATGATTGCTGCAATTGAATGTTTGCACCTGTGTTAGATATCATAAACTGGAATAACTGTCTCCAACACTAATACATTGGAAGAGAATTGTATGTCTTCAAGAGTCCCGAGTATTAACACTAAAACAGCTTGTTTTTTTTTACAAGTTCATTCAACACTTGAAAAGAATAGTTTAGCTGAAACAAACTGGCCACTATCTGATGGAAACAGTGAGAATCTGCTCACTTAACTGAGCTTAACACAAAGAAAGATTAAGAGAAGCTGTTTCATAGGTGATAAAATAAATGTAAGTGTAAAAAGTTGTGTTACGTACATATAACACGAATTATTAACCAGCAACTCTGGATGACATCAGGACCAATGGTATAGCAAATACAATAGCAAATTATATTTAGAATAAGATTATCAGGATGTGTGTGTTTTTAGTGTATGTGTGCCTGTACGTGTGTGTGTGTGTGTGTGTGTGTGTAAGTGCGGGGGGCAGTGCAGTCTCTGTTGACAGGGTTACAGCTGTTTCCTTGCTACTCTGCTGCACAGGAAAAGGAGATGGAGAAACAGAGGCTCTTGTACCAGCAGTCCCGTCTGCACAACCGTGGTGCTGCAGAGATGGTGCTGCAAATGATCAGCGCCTGTAAAGGTAGCTGCTGCACATTAGATCTGCACACAGACACATAGTAGCACACTCTTACACACACACACACACACACACACAAACACTTGTGTGAAAATTATGAACCAAGCGTTAGCTGTGTTAGATGAACCTGTTTATAAAAAAGTAGTGGGAGTAGGACGTGTAAATTTTGGGGGCTAGGAGCTCACTGAATAAACTGCTGTCCGTCATGGACAACCCATCGCACCCACTTTATGCTGTAGAGGCAGCACAGCTCATTCTCCCTCAGACTTATTCGACTCCCCTGCTATAAAAAAACTGTAGGCAACCTTTCCTACCATTTTATCTGTTGTTATCTTGGCAAAGAGAATCCAGCTTCGCTATTCATGGTTGGGTCAAGTTGTTGTACGAGCGGTATCTGCTTGTTTCAGGTGAACCTGGAGCCATGGTTTCTTCTACACTCAAACTGGGAATCTCCATCCTCAATGGAGGCAACAGTGATGTACAGCAGGTAAAGAGCCTTCATGAGTATGATATATTTATGTCTATAGGCTAAAAAGATTTAAAAAACAAAATTTATTTTACCGCCTATCTACATCTTGACATCTTCATTAGAGCGTTGTTGTCATCATGCTCTTGTCATCTGTGTGCAGAGGATGCTGGACTATCTGAAGGATAAAAAGGATGTGGGGTTCTTCCTTAGCATTCAGTCTCTGATGCAGACCTGCAGGTCTGTAATATATTTATGGTTACGTCGATGTTATACTTCTGCTTACCGTTGGAGGGGATATACAAGTTTTTGTACTTTTTAACCTGATTAAATGTTTGCTGTTAACAGTGTTTTGGACTTGAACGCTTTTGAGAGACAGAACAAGGCTGAGGGACTTGGGATGGTTTCAGAAGAAGGCACCAGTGAGTATGGTCGACAGCTTTCAATGGTCACTCACAAACTCAACATGCAATGCATACAAACATCTGCATCTTTGTTCTCCTCCTTTGTTTTGTGATATAATATAATATTTTCTTAGTGTCAGTCTTTATACTGTGCATTTGTGTGTGCCTGTATGTGTATGCCTGGTACAGATATCTTTTCATGTGTCCAGAGTCAAGGAGTCATGACACATGTGTGTTAGTCGCAGCATTTTGACTGTTAATGTATGAAACTGTTTATCATTCGCTGACAGTCATGAGAATTCTGGACTCACTCCGTCTCTTTGTTTTTCTCTTCCCTACATCTTGTTCACTTTGCCCGTTTCAACTCTTTACTCCTCATGCCTATGTCCTTCCTACGCATCAATTTGCTGCTCTCGCGGTTCAAAGATAAGAAGCTAGAACGTGGTAAATGAAACTTTGCTGTCATATATTTTTCTTTCTTTCTCCCCCTCCTTTCTGTCCTTTCTGTCCCTTGTGGCTCTTCTTCTTTTGACTAGCCTTTTCCTTGCTGTGAACTTAATATGCATTTCATTTCTCACTCAAGAGCCCAGTAAAATTAAGCTTTAGAGTCATTTGGTCAGTGGTAGATTACAATATGTTGATATATTTATTCATTGTATCCAAGTTAATTTTTCTTTTTGAAGTGGCTGTGAAGTTTAATTTTCCTCCTTGAGTGTTTTATGACAGATCTACTGTAACTCCATCAAGCTCTGTCTCAGTATAGATCAATGGGAATGAAATGTGATCGTCTTATCTTCCTATTTCTTTGTATTTCATTCACAAATTGTGCTAGAAGCTAAAGTGTAGGAACTTTTTATGCTCTGCGTCGCTCTTATTTCCATAGTTTAAATGTAGTTTGTTTGCGTCTCCCGTTCCGGGCTGATCTTCACAAACTATGTAAATGGCCAGGTTAACCTCTGATCATTTCCATTTTGATTTGCTTTACTTCATCGGTATCGTAGCGTTGTTTATGAATCATCAGGTCATAATGTTTTACTGTGCTTGTTGTTAAAAAAGCTCAACGAGGCAGTCCAAAGGCAGCTCAGTAGAATCTCAGTCCTTGAGTATCTCCCTGTTATAGCGTCTATTTGTACATATTTTTGTACATCATTTCTTCTCTGCTTGTGCACAGCATATGATACGATGTGATAGTTCAATCTGGTAAGAAACAAGAAATGAAGTCTTTTTAAAGTTCCAGCTGTTGCTGCATCATATACCTTTAATGTATTTTGTTCTGGTAGCCTTCTAACTTTATTGCTACCTCTTTGCTTGGTATACCTATGGGAATATTTAACATGAGTCACAATGATAACGTATTTTTCCCGAGGCATGTGTCCATGACTGTTGTTTTAAGAAAAACCTGGCATCCCCCTCATGGCTTTGTTATGATTTGTTGTTGTTCATTCATGATTAAATCGAAGCATGCTTGTGCATCTTTTGGAAATAAACTGTTTTTACCTGATAGCATGCTATTAGAGAACTGTGAAATTGATATTTTTGCAGTATATGTAGCAAAGTGCAATGTTTAGGTTAGATTCTATTGCAAAGAAATTATGAAAGTCTTCCCAGTTCCTTCAAAAATATTGACAAAAGTGGTTATTAAAGTGCATTTTCCTGCATTCCCCCCTGATTTTCCCCCAACATCCAAGCTGATAGCTAACAGGAGTTTACAGAGTTCAGTAGATCTGTACTGCATGATGGTGTGCCGTGGAAGTTATATCTGTGTTTATGTGTTTACCATCAGTATCCATGTCCTGTTTTTTCAGCTGTATTTTTGTTATTTTGTGATTTTTATGTGTACTTTCATTGTCCACTACAGTGTGATGTGGCTGACACTTCTTGTTCATCTGAGTTGTGCAGATTTTTTGTGTTAAAAAATGTTGAGCTGGTTTGCAATACACATTTGTTCACATTCCATCACAGTCACACGTTCTTCAAGTTCAAACATGAATCTCAATTTCACAAACATTAAATAATGTCATTTTAAATAATGTCCACTCATGACCTATTCCTATAAATAACATTTGTGCTTACTGTTTAACTTTTAATGCTAATAAAATCTAAATCCAGCAGTGTTAAATGTGTAGATGAACAATATAAAGTTGGTTTACAATATTTAACTATTTGATGAGTGCGCTTAATGAAGGTAAACTGACCTGAATACTAAATTCTATAATCTTTCTATAACTGGTCATTTGAAAAAATAATTTCCATCCATCTATTCGCTTCCGCTTATCCTTTTCAGGGTTGCAGGGGTTGCTGGAGCTTGTCCCAGCTGTCTTAGGGTGAGAGGCGGGGTAGAACCCTGGACAGGTCACCAGTCTGTCACAGGGCTAAGACAGAGACAACCAATCGCACTCACGTTCACTCCTGCATTCACGCCTATGGGCAATTTATTGTTTACAATTTCCAATTAAATAATTATTTGTTTTTATATTTTCTTGTACGAAGACAAAATGATTGGATATTTTGATCTCCTGGTGCATTTTTCCCTTTTCTTTGTTTATAATTTGTTATATGTGTGTGTATATATATATATATATATAGGTTCAAGGTTCTTTATTTGTCACATGCATAGTTATACAAGTATAACACACAGTGAAATGTAACCACAATATATATATATACATATATAAACTATATAGAAAGAAAACTGGTCTGAATCTTTATCTACAACTTCTGTAAGGTGAAGTCAAATAGATCAAGTCAAAAAGGATACAATTCAAGTTTTGCAAAAGAACATTAAAATGTTAAAGAAACGTGAGCTAAAGGTACCCTAGCATTTTATAGGGTACTTCCTCTATAGCATCAACCTTTACTCCTAATATACATAATCTTGTGTTTACCACTATAATCTAACAGAATAAAAGCAGTTCATGTGTACGCTGTCCTGGGACTGCAGAAACCTGCTTTCGCACAGATTAATTAGCATGCCTTTTGTTATTCATCCTAGATGAGAAAGTGATGGCAGACGATGAATTTACATGTGACCTCTTCCGCTTCCTTCAACTTCTTTGTGAGGGCCACAATAATGGTAAGTCATGGCTGTACTAAATAAAACAAGTCTATTCACCAAACACCACGGCTGTATTTAGTGATCTTCCATGAGGCAGAGTGATGCCACCTTGTTTTTAGACTTTCAGCATTAAGTTTTGTATTTCATAAATGAAATTTTCAGCATACTTGGAGTCATTATCCGTGTGCATTGTGAAGCACGGTCAGGATTGCTTTCGGCTGAATATGAGTGGGGAATATAGAATAGAATGGAATAGAATAAACCTTTATTATCCCATGGAGGAGACATTTCGGTGTTACAGAGCTCTTACAGCAAGGAAAAATAAAATATAAAAGGAAGACACAAGGTGAACATTGAACGGAGATATCTATAAAATGGACAGGGATATGTATAAAATCTACAGAGTTATATATAAAATGTACAGTAAACAAACAAGCTGGTGAGTAAGATGACCAACAGGATGTTAAGCTGCATTATAGAGTCTGACAGCTGCTGGTAATAATGACCTGCGGTAGCGCTCCTTCCTACACTGTGGGTGTAAAAGTCTACTGCTGAACAAGCTGCTCAGTGCTCGTACAGTCTCACGCAGGGGGTGGGAGGTGTTGTCCATGATGGATGTTAGCTTAGACTCTCCTCCCCAACCTGCTCAATGGACTTCAGGGGACAGTCCAGGACAGAGCTGGCCCTCCTGACCAGTTTGTTGAGTTTCCCCCTGTCTCTCTCTCTCCATATATATGTGTCAAAGATTGGTTAGAAGTTGTGAAGCAGTTTTTATTAACCACTGATATAATTGTTTCATTGTGCACTTTTTCATTCATTCTTTTTAAGAGTGATTTGGACACTCCTAAAGTTTTTTTAACATGAGTCACAGTTCCTGTGCATTCTCCCCGCATTGTTCTCCCTGTATCTCTGGTTCATGTCTCAAGGTTTCAGGTTTGTTTTTGCTTAGCTTTTCCCAGTTTAGGTTACTCTTAAGTTTTGGTTTTCGTCCACCTCGTCCCTGTTTGTTTCACCCTTTTGTTAATAAAGCTCGCTCACAACTAAGCAGTCTGCATCTTGGGTCCGTTAATAATTCACACAGAGCCTGTAGACTCCTGGTGGAGCATAGGGCCACAACAACACCACGCCAACGGACTCTATTTTGGGCTGTTCTCTTCAGCTGGGTCCACATCATTCTGGCGGCCTTTATTTTGCTCTAGACAGATCTTCTTCACGTCTGTTTGGGTCTCCCCACGGGACACTGTATATAGAACTGTAATTCCTAAACAGTTAATGCTAAATTTTTATAAAACTTCTTGAATTAAAGCTGAAAGTCAGCACTTGATGCACCTGGTGCATTATCGTCTGTCTGAATTTTTAAAAGTAGACTTCTTTAATTTTGGCAATTCAGTTAATTTTCTTTTCCTTTTATCCTCAGATTTTCAGAACTACTTAAGGACTCAGACAGGCAGCACAACTACTATAAATGTCATCATCTGCACTGTGGACTACCTTCTTCGACTCCAGGTCAGTCAGATATACAGTACTTACCCTGATTTTGGTAAGACTGAGGATTAAGCACCTTATATACAATAAAGCTTTTGAAAGGTTTCTTATTAATGACTTCTGGGAGCTCAAAAAGAGTCTTAATATGAATCCAGTATATCATAAAAATTAGATATTACAGTTAGCTTCTGATATTTTTAAGTTTTTTGAGAGTTAAATAAGTCATCCAGAACCCTTGCTAACATCATGTTCTTCCTCCTGTTCCTGCATGCAGGAGTCCATTAGTGACTTTTACTGGTACTACTCAGGAAAAGACATAATTGATGAGCCTGGCAAGAGGAATTTCTCCAAAGCAATGACTGTGGCCAAGCAGGTCTTCAACAGCCTGACTGAGTATATCCAGGTAAAAATCTTGCTGCATGAATGATAAGAAATCTTAGTGGAAGATAAGATTTCTAGGGGATATTCCAAATATGGGTCTACTGCCACGGCCCTCCAGACAGTGGTTAAGTGGAGAACCCCTTCAGATCTAAACTTTGTACATTACAGAGTAAATTGACTTTTTAGAAGAAATTCTACAGGTTTTGTATTCCTGCTTAGGATATGCATTTTTCAAAACACAGTTTTGTTCCCAAAATCAGACTTTTTAGAATTTTTGAAATATTTTGTTTGGTTACAAAGAAAAAAATATGTCTTCCAAATTTGTAAGCGCACATGAATATTATCTTTATTTGCCGATGTGTGTGTTAACTTTCAGGGTCCCTGTACTGGGAACCAACAATCTCTGGCCCACAGCAGATTGTGGGACGCTGTTGTGGGCTTTCTACATGTCTTTGCTCACATGATGATGAAACTTGCTCAGGTAAGGAACATGCCATTGAAGTCATTAATTTTCAATCTTTTTCTTTTTTAGTTTTTATTTCCCGGTGTCAGGAATAATTTCCATTTAGAATCCACCCCCCCCACCCCAACTATTTTCTATAATAATCTAAACGTACTTGTTTATAAAAATAGTTGTCGATTTGTCTGTTTTGTTATGCTAATTATATAAACTGTCACTCTCTCGGTTCCTACAGAGAAAAGTATGTATTTGTTTGATTACTCTCAGGTTTAACTTTAGAAAAAATCTTAACCGTTTCCTCCCTTTTTAGTCATATTGTTTCTGCCACTTTGATGAGTCTTTTGATATTTAACTGTCTGATAAATATCAAAGGATATTTAAACCTTGCAAATTTTGTCCCTGGTAAAGTAATCTGTCTATATATTAAGTCTAACTGTCTTTACGTTTTAGTTAGATTGTAACCAAATTTAAATTAGAAATGCAAGATCATCTTCCTTCATGCATACAGTATTTGTCTTGTACCTACACGTTTATTAGCTATGTTCATCGATTCAACAACTTTGTTTGACATTTTAGATTTCCACCCAGAGAAATATGAAAACATTTTCAGAGTTGCAGAAATGATGGCTACTACATTAGCAAAGCTAATTATTCTCACTCAGTCTAATGTGGAATTAGAATTCCCCGAATAATATGAACTTCATTAAAGTTGGCAGAAACAACTTGAAAAAATATACACTTATTCCTTTCTATTACTTCTATTTTCCTACTTTACATTTTTGTATGATAAAGTTAAACTACCAGTGCTATTTGATTGTGCTTTGGGTGTTTGCTTTCAATAACACATGTCTACTGTCATTCATTTGTTTTGGTTTATAAGAAGCTGCAGTGTTTACTAACCTAATTTTGTGTGGCTGTTTTATTGCTACTGACTGATTAAAAGGCATTTTTTATGTCATATGACTCTCCTGAAAATTAATTCTGTACAAGTACTTTGTTTAGGCAGGTTTAGATAAAACAAAACACATACATTTAAAAAAGTTTTGTTCGGAAGTTCTATGCCAAAAAAAACTTCCAGAACAATATATGCTGTCTTGGTTATTGAAATGGAGGCTGTTGCCTGACAAAACATTAGATAGTATTCATGCTGAGACAATCCAAAAACAAAGTAAACATTTAATGTAAAACAGTTTTATTTTCATGTGTAACTCTGTTAGATGCACCCCGATCCTGGACAGCGAAACGGCGTAAGAATCTGTGTTTTCACACCGAATCCATCTCATTTAAAGCCCCTCATGCTTTTTTAAAGCCCTCATGCTTAATACTTTCTTTAATAAGTTGCTTAATAGCCTGCACCATCTACATGTGCCTCTTTGTGTATTTTCTCTGCAGCACTTCATATTTTGTCTTTGCGTTTATTGTAATGATATAGATTTTAGGTCTCAACTGTTAAAGAAGCCAAAGTTACAGTTATTCACTTAGTTGTGCTAGATTTAGACCTCGATGATTATTACACACCAAACTGTAATTACACTTTTGTAAGTTAAGTGTCTCCGGATGTATTGTGATTGAATTAATTATTTCTTCTTTGAGGGATTCATTTCACTTTACTCCTTAAAGCCTTAACGTGTTGTATTGTCTCTCTTCATTTAGCTGTTTCATTTGCTGTAGATGATAAGCTGTTTAAAACGGTACAACTCTGATTTCGCAAGCAGTTTTTGCTGGCTTGCATGACATCCTTTTCCTCTAGATCTCCACCAGCCTGACAGCCACTATGACCTATGATAAACATTTGAAGTTTGTCATATCAGCTGGTGCAGGCCTTCAGGAGTGATAAGATTAGCATCTGCAAATATGGCTGTCGTCCATCCTGCAGTCTCTTTTTCAAATTAAGGCTGTTAGAAGAGCCATTTTCTTCCTTCCCCTTTCCTGTGTTTCTGTCTCACATCCTATCACATTCAGTGTACAATTTATTATATAAAAATGCATATTCTTTATTCAAAAATGCACCCCCAGGATCATTTTTGGAGTAGATCACACTCTGAGGTAGTGCCTTTCACTTATGTTTAAAAAAAAAAAGCAAATTATATTCAGTTTAAACTGTAATGTATACAAAAAATGGCTTTTTTTTAGTCAATACCCTTTAAAAAGCTTGTCTCTCTGCTGTGTCTTTGCGTTCTGGTATATACGTTTTGGCTCCATTGAAGGACTCCAGTCAAATTGGTCTCTTGAAGGAGCTTTTAGATCTGCAGAAGGACATGGTAGTGATGCTTCTGTCACTGCTTGAAGGTAAGCTACTCCTCACTATCAGATCATGTCTGCTTCTTTCTGTCAGATACATTCTATTGTCCTTATCTCATCTCTGCTTGTACTGCTATCAGGCAATGTGGTGAATGGTACCATTGCCAGGCAAATGGTTGACATGTTGGTGGAGTCCTCCAGCAATGTGGAGATGATCCTTAAGTTCTTCGACATGTTCCTCAAGCTCAAGGATATAGTGGCATCTGATGCGTTCCGTGATTATGTGACTGATCCACGTGGTCTTATTTCAAAGAAGGACTTCTCCAAGGCCATGGACAGTCAGAAGCAATACTCTCCATCTGAAATCCAGTTCCTCCTCTCGTGCTCAGAGGCTGATGAGAATGAAATGATCAACTTTGAGGAGTTTGCTGATCGTTTCCAGGAGCCAGCAAAAGACATCGGTTTCAATATTGCTGTTCTGCTCACAAACCTGTCAGAGCATGTACCCCATGACACTCGCCTTCAGAACTTCCTGGAACAAGCAGAGAGCGTGCTCAACTATTTCCGCCCTTTCCTTGGCCGTATCGAGATCATGGGAGCCAGCAGGAAAATCGAACGCATTTACTTTGAAATCAGTGAGGAGAACCGCAATCAGTGGGAGATGCCTCAAGTCAGAGAGTCCAAGCGGCAGTTCATCTTTGATGTGGTCAACGAGGGTGGCGAGAGTGAGAAAATGGAGATGTTTGTGAACTTCTGTGAGGACACCATTTTTGAGATGAACATTGCTGCATCTATCTCTGAGCCAGAGGGAGATGGTGCAGAAGAAGAAGATGATGAAGAAGAAGAGGAAGGTGGAGGAGATGAAGGAGAGTCTGGAGAAGGAGATGAAGGAAATGGTGAGGGTGAAGCTCCGGAGTCGGCTTCTGCCTTTGCAGAGTTTCTGAAGAGCGTGGTTAACTTCTTTAACATGTTCACCTTCCGTAACCTCCGGCGTCGATACCGCAAACTTCGAAAAATGACGGTAAAGGACATGATTATCGGCCTGGTTACATTCGTCTACACTGTTTTGATGGGCATCCTGATTTTTGTCTATAGTATATGCAAGGGTTTCTTCACACTAATATGGAAGGCACTGTTTGGTGGAGGCTTAGTAGAGGGTGCCAAGAAGATAACAGTCACAGAGATCCTGGCCAGTATGCCTGATCCCACCCAAGATGAAGTTCATGGGGACCTACCGCCTGAACCGGGTGCTAGGGAAGTCCAAGATGCAGATGGAGTGGCAGACCTCATAGATGCTGTGGGTGGAGAGGAGGAAGAAGAGGATGGTGAGGACAGAGAAGGTGGACGGTTGCCTGGCTTTAATACTCCTGGGGGACTTGGAGACATGGGAGAGACAACACCAGAAGAACCTCCGACTCCAGAGGGCACTCCACTGTTGAAGAGGAAACTGGTGGGTTGTTCTCTCTCATAGTTGTTTATTAATATGTACACTCTTTAGTAACTGGTTAATTAATTGTAAACTAATTAAAACAGCTGGCTGCTGCAGTAGGAGGACAAGGAGATGAAGAAAAGGTTGAACACGAAGAAGAGGCTCCTCAGGAGACCGAGAAAGCAGAGTAAGACGTTTGCCTGTTGTAGTCTGATGTCAAAAATAAGCAGGATCTGCTTAAAATGTGTCCTTGAGATTAAACATAATATATTTTCAATTCACTGAATTCACTATCATGTGTGCAATTATAAACAATTTCCGGATGTTATTGATTAAAAAACAGTTGTAACTCTGCACGGTTTTGTTAGCTGTTCACATACATAGCGTACACCCTTGTAGGTATTGAGTTTTTAATCCCATTTTAAACAGTGCCAAAAGTCTAAAGCTATTTTTGTTTTCCCAAGCTTAAATTTCTTTGTGTCTTTCCAAGCACCGAGAATGGTGAGAAAACAGAGAAAGCAGAGAAAGCAGAGAAGGCAGAGCCTGAACCCGAGGTAAAGGAGGAAGAGCCTGAGGAACAAGAAGAGATAAGTGTGAAGACCAAAGTGAAGAAGGACAAGAAATCTGATAAGGAGGGCTTTAAACTGTGGAATGAGCTGGAGGTTCAGAGGATTAAATTCATGGTGAGCAGCTTTTTCTCTCAGCACGGTGTTGAATGTATTTTAACTGCCATGATGAGTACTAGAAAATGAGTCTGATATGTTCAGCTAGTGTACTAGAGATTAGTTTCATACATAGAACATTTTTAAAATGACCCCTAGTATACTTTTGTGATTAGTAACTCATGGAGGACACCTTATCAGCATGTGCATTTATCGGCATTTATCACAGCATTATTGCTAATTTCTTTATTTCTTTCCAGAACTACCTTTCTCGCAACTTCTACAATTTACGTTTCTTGGCCCTGTTCATTGCCTTCGCTCTCAATTTCATCCTGCTCTTCTACAAGGTCTGTTTTGACTAAATAATTTGATGTCATGACACCTGGGACGTAGCACTGTGCATTACAAATTCAGTTATTAGAATCTGTTAGTTCTGGAGTCTTACGTGCATAAAAATAAGCATATTCACATTTATACATCAGCACCAACTAATATTTGTGATCGTGTCTTAAATATTTCTTTCAGATTTTTAGTAAAAATATTCTTAGAAGCTTTACCAAGACCCTGAGGACTGCTGTTTTTTATGACCTTTCTAGGTGTCTGACACGCCTCCAGGTGAGGAGGAGTTTGAGGGTTCTGGTCTCTTTGAGGGTTCTGGGATTTTTGAAGGCTCCGGTACTGAGGAAGACGGATCAGGATTAGATGACGGAGGGGAAGATGATGATGAAGAAGGTCCTTTGTACTACTTTTTGGAAGAGAGCACTGGCTACATGGAACCAGCAATGGCTTTCTTTGGTATTGTTCACACCATCATCTCCTTCCTCTGTATCATTGGCTACAACTGCCTGAAGGTGTGTGAGAGATTTGCTTTTCTTTACTCCAAAAAAGTTTTAGGGGTGTGTTTTCATAGGTTTCATGCGGTATATCTGCTCCATCTCCACCTTTGTAAGGTCCCTCTGGTTATCTTCAAAAGAGAGAAAGAACTGGCCAGAAAGCTGGAGTTCGATGGCCTCTATGTCACTGAGCAGCCTGAGGACGATGACATCAAGGGCCAGTGGGACAGACTGGTGCTCAACACTCCGTAAGACCCATGTTTCAGTATCATTCGTGATACTTTATTACATAGAACCTGCTAGTACCAGGTCGGTACAACAAGGCACTCTTGCCCAGAGAACTGTCACTCACTGGGTATTTTCTCTTTTTCAAAGCATCCTGTTTAAACACTAGAGATGGTTGTGCAGTAAAATCACAGTATCACTGATAGAAGACAGAGAGCAAGGAGAGATGATGAGCTGATAAAGAGTGAAAGATGATTGGGCAATGAGAAAATAAGGAAAGAAAAAAAGAACAAACAGGGTTTTAGGTCAGGAAGATATTTATCTGTGCAAAACTGGAAAGGAAATGTGTGAGGCTCCAGAGTTTCAAATAAATAAGATAAACTGAGCACACTGTAGCTAATGTTTTTATCATTGTGCAGAACCTTCCCCAACAATTACTGGGACAAGTTTGTGAAAAGAAAGGTAAGACTTTTTTGTCTTTTTTTGTCAGCCACATTTTTGCAGTTATATATTGAAGTACGACGTTCAACTCAACATCTGTATGTGATTTCCAGGTTCTGGATAAATATGGGGACATTTATGGCAGAGAGAGAATTGCGGAGCTGCTTGGTATGGACTTGGCTTCTCTTGATGTCAGCGCCATGAGCCATGGAAAAAAGCCTGAACCTGACACCTCAATGTTCAGCTGGTAAGCTCACGCATTACATGAATCAATGTCATTTACAGAGTTATATTTAAAAAAGGCATAAGGGCAAATGTGTCTGTTGTTGTGCAGGATAACATCTATTGACATCAAATACCAGATCTGGAAGAATGGTGTGGTCTTCACTGATAATGTGAGTAAAAGAAAGTTTTTATGTAATTAAAACATTAAGCGAATCTGCTTTGAATGCGGTCTTCCTGATGCATTTTTTAAATATCTTTTAGACTTTCCTCTACCTGGTTTGGTACATGTTGATGTCTCTGCTTGGGCACTACAACAACTTCTTCTTTGCTGCTCATCTTGTTGACATTGCAATGGGCGTGAAAACCCTGCGCACGATTTTGTCCTCCGTCACCCACAACGGCAAACAGGTTACACTTTTGCTAAAGATACGTAATCGGGCTTTCAGTTGACCTGTTTTGTTTTTTTGTTTTTTTACATTAGATCCTTTGTTTTCCTTCCTTTCGCTGCAGCTGGTGATGACAGTGGGTTTGCTGGCCGTGGTGGTGTACCTGTACACTGTGGTGGCCTTTAACTTCTTCCGCAAGTTCTACAACATGAGTGAAGACGAGGATGAGCCGGACATGAAGTGTGATGACATGATGACTGTGAGTGAAGGGCAACCCCCCCACAAAAAACAACAAAGCAAAAAAACCCACTTCAGGACACACCCAGCATGATTTTTTGGAGGTCGGCTTTACTATGCTATCTAAACTGACCTCTGACTTTACCTCCTCCTGCAGTGTTACCTCTTCCACATGTACGTTGGTGTGCGAGCTGGCGGTGGCATAGGAGATGAAATTGAGGACCCAGCTGGTGATGAATACGAGCTTTACCGCGTTGTCTTTGACATTACATTCTTCTTCTTCGTTATTGTCATCCTGCTGGCTATCATCCAGGGTAATTTTGTGTTATTTGTGGACGCTTACTGAACCACCGTATCATGACACAGGGCACTGCAATTTCACTGCAAACTGTATACAAATGGCTGTAAGCATAAGTCTAAACAGAAAATGGCATTTACAGCCAGTTTTAACACTGAAAAATGTAGCATTTAGCTATTTGTGCAGTATCACAAGTGAAGAAGATATTTCTGTTTTACAAAAATTAGAAAAGGGTAAAAAGAGTATTTGTCTGTCTCTCAGGTTTGATCATTGATGCATTTGGAGAGCTGAGAGACCAGCAGGAGCAAGTCAGAGAGGACATGGAGGTAAGGCTTAATTTTAAACAACCTACATCTCTCTTTCAACTACTAGACATGATTTTGTTTATCATAAAGTTTCCTTTCTCCCTTTAGACAAAGTGTTTCATCTGTGGAATAGGGAGTGACTACTTTGATACGACGCCGCACGGCTTTGAGACACACACTTTAGAAGAGCATAACTTAGCCAACTACATGTGAGTGGCATTACAAACACAGATGTGACTTTCACGCCATTAAACATAATACTCTGTTATTTAAAATAGAAAATCAGCAGATATTTGTGCTAATTGTATTAATCTGAAAATCATGTTTAACCCCTTAATGCTAATGATTTTGACTTCTGTCAAGTCTCATTTGTGTTTCTGTTTCAGGTTCTTCTTGATGTATTTAATCAATAAAGATGAAACAGAACACACAGGACAGGTGAGTAAATATAGGGATTGATTTGAGACAAATATTGATGTTTCAAAAACAAAGGTGCAGGCCTCCTTAGTATTTTTTGGAATTGTTAATTTTGAAAGTCGGCATTCACCAACGTTGCACCATTTTTCAGGAGTCATATGTGTGGAAGATGTACCAGGAACGATGCTGGGACTTCTTCCCTGCTGGAGACTGCTTCAGGAAGCAGTATGAGGACCAGCTTGGATAAAGTCATGAATCTTTACTCTGCATCCAATGGAGAAAGAGAGGAGAGAGAAGATATGAAATTTTAAGATCAAACATATCTATGTCTTAGTTTTGTCCTTTGCCTGCACAGTTCTCTCCTCTGTTAAAGCTATGCACACTTTGACTGCACTGTTGTACCACCTGCAGCAGAATGTTGTTGGAGCTTATTTAAGAAAGGGAGAGTAATAACCGTGAGGCATAAGAAGATACAAGAAGCCAGGGGCCTTTTTATTCTGCTATGACTACACTACATGGCCTTTTTGTGAAATATACATAGTTTGCCTTGCATATCAGTTGTGTCTTTTCAAATGGGGCTCTTTCGTCGCTACTGCTGTAAACGTTTTAGTGCCTATAGCAAAGCCACTGCTTCAGCAATCTCGTTTAGATTTTCAGTTTCAACACTTTTCTTTGAGATATTTTATTTATATTATTTGTAAAATTAGGATTTTTTTTTGTACATGGCTGCTGCTGACTGGTATTACATGTCTGACTGTTGGTGTTTCTGCAATAAAAGCAGCTCGCAGTCATTTTTCTGAGATCCTTGAGAGGGCAGTAAAGATATTTGGCCGCCTCTCACTCTTTTTCTCTCAAAGCTTGTCTTCGGAGAAGCAATCGTGAATAGAAACTTCTGAACTGACTTGCCAAAATAAAAAAACACACTGACATCAGTATATGGCATGTACCGGTGTGAATCAGCTGTACAGACGAACCTACTTGGCACTCTTAAGTCTTACAATGCATCCCTGAATGTATGTGGTGCCCAATCTCTGCTGGTGTTTCCGTGCCATATAAGATATCGATGATGTACACACACATACACTATAAGAGGATGCCAAGGTTATTTATTCTTTATATGCAGATCAGATCTTCTGAAGACGACCGTTTTAGCCCGTCTGTATTTCTGGCCAACAGTCTGTTTTATGACACTTTATGCACAAATAAGTTTTTGTCAGTGCATTAAAATAAGTAATGAATGTATCTAACGTATACACTTTGGCCAAAGCGTCATCTGTATAACTGAGGAATGACTAGGCTGCCTGGACGCTTTTTGATGAAAAGACATATTTTACTTAAACCATAGATACATATATTTATTTTTATTTGGGGCTTTGAGGGATTTAAATGACCCTTGCTACTTTGTTGGACACGTGTGTCCTGTTTGTGACATCCTCAGTGGTGAAGAGAAATGGTCTTACACAGGTTTATATGCCCAGTTTGCAGTCAGAAGAGAAAGTTAGCTTTTGTTTTTGCTAGTTAGGTTTTTATGATCGGTATTTTTAGGAATTCAACATATGAATTATTTTCTCAATTTAAATTTGATGCATTGATCTCAGACCGTTCTGTCTCACTACGCCTCCTCCTGAACACATAAAAACTCATTTACTCTCCATCTTGTATTTAATGTTATTATATGTCAAATACAGAGCAGTATTTTGGTTGCTGATGACTCTGAAGTGTGCATTTGCTGCTGTAGCCCTATCAGAAGCAGTTGATGTTATGGAACTGAATAGAGATCACTACTTTCCACTTGACTGAGTGTCCTCTGACTGAACCCTGTGTTTCAATACAGAATAAACAGACTATTTTAAGGAGAATGTGAAGATGTCTCCTTATTTCCGTGCAAGCTTCTGTGTGTTTCTGGATGTACATCTCCCCAGATTTGTTCTTCATGTTACCTTGTATTTAGAAGTTACAAATTCCATTCATATTTGGTCTCACAAGGTTGTTCTCCAGTAAGATGAGCCAGGCAGTCTTCATGCATTTCTTTTGGGCGATAACACTGATTTTCATTTTGCAATTACACATTGAAGTGGCAAAAGCTAGAGTTTACATTTTATTAGATGAAAGATTTTATAGGTTTGATGGTGTCTTTAAAAACTTTAACTTAACCAAATATGAAAAGTCCTTAGTTAAGCAGGACACACCCATGTATTACTGTGACAGTTTTGTTCTTTGAATGAATTTGTGTGGGTCTACATTCAACCACACAACCATTCAGTGTGTTTACTTTACAAAGCACTTGCTGGATTAAGCTAACGCCTCCATGTAGTATGTATGCATACATTTATGAGGTTACCTGAGTGGGAGATAAGGATTACTTGTGCTTCTGTTTGGCTTTAGCAGATAGCCTTGTTTGGATATTTAATGAATCATACTTAGAGTACACACCTCTACGGTTCTGTTTTATGATATCAGGTTTCTGTGTGTACCAGAGGTAATTTATTCATACATACAGCTCTATTTCAAAAGAATTCTGTTGCACACAAACTACAAAATGCACTATAACAAACATCATTGTACATCATGTATTGAGTATGAATTTAATCAGGTCTACCATAAATAGAATGAGGACCATAGAATGAATCACCACCCTGTAGAATGGATACTCATTGGTTCATCATTTTGGTTTTTCCTTGCACAGCTGCACACAAATGCATTCTCAGTCTTTTTCTTTCAAGTGCCACTCCTCGGCAGGGGCAAAGGTTATTTGCATCACGTTACTCCAAAGTAAACACAGTGATGCAGGGCTGGGTGTGGTACCCTGTTCTACCCCTCCCTCACTGCTTGTATAAAATAAGGCATCTGGGTGGTATTAGTGTTCGGTGAAGTTCTCCTGTTTTGTTCTGCTCGCCCATCTTACTGACTGCAGCCATGTTTGTTGCTCCTCCTGGCTATCAGCCAATCTATAGCCCGGTAAGTATCTGCACGCACTGATACCCACAAAAATATGTTTTTTTCTATTAGGTCTTAAACAAGCTTCATTGTTTTTGTTCTGTTAATAACAATAATATTTGAGCCTATGGCACTGTGTGAATTTTATGCTGAGAAGATGTAATAAATTGTCCTTAGGTTCTCATAGTTTCATTACCATTACAGGATTTTGCAAATGTATTAACTCAAAAGTGCAATCACATACTTTGTTAGAGAATTCAGATAATATCACAATGGAAGGTCGGCTGTTTTTGTAAGGAGAAACCAAAAAAGTGACACCACAAAATAATAGCAAAGACTTAGTATTTTTAGTTGGATCTTCTTTTTAGTTATTCAGTTTTTTCCAGTGGTTCCCAAAAATGACACGTTTTAAGTGAGGGACATTAATGAAGGCATGAGATTAGGAAAGTTTATAACACTTAGAACAGGAGTAAGTAAACAACGTTCTAATTGTCCATAGTACTGGTCACGGTTCTTAGTAGAAGGATAGACTAAACAATCTGACCCATAAGGAAGTATAGGTCAGGATATACAGCTAAATTCAATTCATTTGTATTTATATAGTTCTAAATCACGACAGCTGTCGCTTCAAGACCCAGCCAGGCCCTAATAATCAGATAGCCCCCTGTGATCAAGCACTTGGGGAGGAAAAACTCCCTTTTAAGAGGAATAAACCTCCAGCAGAACCAGGCTCGGGCACCCATCCACCATGACTGTTTATGGGTGAGGGGACAAAGACAGGGCAGAACATTAACTGGAAGTGAGTCATAGATTAATAATGACTAGCGATAACATTCAAAGTTGTGCATAAACACACAAAGAAAGAAACGCGCAGTGCATTATGGAAAGTCCCCAGCAGAATAGGCCTATTGCACCATAACTAAGGGAGAGTTCAGGGTCACCTGTTTCAGCCCTTTTGTTGAACATGGCTTGTTAATAGATTGATTAATCATATTTAAGACTTGTCCACTGTGGTGTATACTGAGGTAAAAATACAAAAATTATGTATTTTTCCAAAGAATTATGGAAGACAGTGTATATAATACATGGACTGTGTGTGTTTTGCCATGCCCAGTAACAGAGAGAGAGGCCAAACTGAGAGAGTAAGAACTGTTGTGAAATAAGATAAACACTAGACAGATTCACAATGCTGTCCATACTACCCAGGCCTTTGTATAAATATTGAAATGCTGGGCCTCTTTTGGCTTCATTGAAACAAATAATACATTTACAGATTTGGTACAAACCAAATAGAAAAGCCTGATTAATATTTTACATGCATCAAATATTATTGTACATTAAATCCTAATTTGACATTTAACTAGTAACTACACTAATAATATATACAAATATATTATGATTGTTCAAAATAACACTAGAGTACTGTAATTAATCACTGCAAAGTAATTTGTAACTTGATTTAATCATAATATGACTGACATTTGGACTATGAAGTGCGTACATTCCACAGTGTTGCTGTGTTACAGTTACTTAATATTTTGTCCCTGGCACAGGACATACCCTATCTAGGGCCTATTAATGGAGGGCTGAGGGAAGGAACATCCATCTATATCCAGGGGACCATTCCCAAGCACATCACCAGGTGAGGGGAAGACATAAACTCGTGACCCTATACACTTTACAGAAAATTTGTTATAGTCAATAACTGTTAAACAGTTTTGTCTGTTTCCAAGGTGGTTGTCTTTAGCTATGATTTATCATTTATATCCAAGAGGCAGCAGTGATTCAGGATCATAGTCCATTAACGGGCAGAGTAAAAACTGCACATACCTCACTGTGTCAACATATTAAGCTCTTTTTTTTCTTTTTCTTTTTTACAACAGTTACAGTTTCCTAATCTTATCTGCTTTCTTTCTTTCTTTCTTTTCATTGGCAGGTTCTTTATCAACCTGATTTGTGGAGAATCTGAATCCAGCGACATTGCCCTACACTTCAACCCTCGATTTGATGGCAGGGACAAGGTGGTCTTCAACACCTGTCAGAATGGATCCTGGGGGTCAGAGGACAAGATTCACAAAATGCCTTTTAGAAAGGGAGAGCATTTTGAAATGGTCATCATCGTTACTTTGCAGGGCTACCAGGTCAGGACAAACTGTTGTACAGACAATGAAAACAAATTCTATGTATGTAAAAATGTAAAAATCTATTCATGTAAAAGCTGTAAATGAAGACTCAATAAATGGTTTATTCTCAGTATAATATAATTGTAAGGTATTATAGTCAGTATGTGATCAGTTATATTATTACCACTTATGCTTCTTTTATTGATTTAATCCAACACAAATATGACATTATTCTGTTGCAGATTAAAGTAAATGGGATTGATTTCCATATTTTTCAACACCGCATCCCTATGGAGCAAGTTCGTGGGCTGCAGATTGCAGGAGATGTTTCCATCCAGACGATTAATTTTATTGGGGTGAGTCCTCAGCTCCGTGAATCTTCCGCATTGATGCTTCGGGCTTTGCTGGGAAAAATAAATTAAGTCAAAATTATCAAAAGTTTAGATTTAACAAGTCTGGCAGCTGTTGGCTAAGGATTTCTGCTTATGTGCCCAATAGGGCATGCATAGGTATCATGAAGGAATGGGAATAATTAAAAAAGAACGTGTTGCATCATATTCAGAAAAATCTTTTCTTTCATGTTTTGCTGGGTTTAAAAGTCATCTCTTTACAAATGTGAAATTAGCAGATGAATAAATATGTTTGTATGAATGAATGAATATGTATGTTTCTATCAATATGCCAGATTTCTCCTTGTATTTCAAACAACACAATCTTCTGTGTTTGATCATTATTATGGTCAACAGCACTTACTTTGTGAAGATTTTGTTTTTAATTCATTTTTCCCCCTATTTGATCTTTTTAGGGTGGAATGGGAGGAGGAATGGGAGTGAGTATATATATGTAATATCAAAATGATACAAATTAATTTACCACAGCTTTTTCATGATTACAGTCATTACCTGCTTTTCAACAGGGAGGATATCCAGGAGGTGGCATGGGGGTATGTTACTTTTGCTCAGATGTGATTTGCATTCTGTTTATTTAAATATTACTGTAGTGAGATAAAGTGTGCATATATTTAATTTGAACTGCACCGTGCTTCTTTTGACATCCAGGGAGGTTACCCAGGTGGCATGGGAGGAGGAATGGGAGTAAGTGTACTGAGTAACTGAACATTTGCTTTTGATAAGATTGCTGTAATTTTTCAAGTGCCACATTAGTACGCAAATGGTAAAACATACATATTTGAACTTTTCAGCCAGGAGGATATCCAGGAGGTGGCATGGGGGTATGTTACTTTTACTGAAACATGTTTTACATTCAGATTCTTTAAATATTACTGGATCTGTAGTGAGAGGAAGTCTGCACATTTGAACTGCACTGTGTTTCTTTTGACATCCAGGGAGGTTACCCAGGTGGAATGGGAGGAGGAATGGGAGTAAGTGTACTGAATATTGTATATTTTCTTTTGACAAGGCCACTGTAAGTTTTCAAATAACATGCTAGTACACACATCATTAAACAAACATGTTTGAACATTTCAGCCAGGAGGATATCCAGGAGGTGACATGGGGGTAAAAAATACTTTTATTCCTCAGATTTACATTTGCTATATTATAAAATGCAGGTCACACATATGTAACAGAATAAAGTAATTTTAAAATTTCTGATTGATTCCTTGCAGGATGGATATCCAGGAGGCATGGGAGGTGGAATGGGGGTATTGAATTATGTTATAACTTAAATAATCTGTGCAAGCTGAATTTTTATGACAAAAATCTCAATTTAAGTTTCATTTATCTTTCATTTTCATTTTGTTTTTGTATTTCTTTTTATTATTATTAATATCATTATTA